AAACACAGTGTCTATTCTCGAGATCGGCCGAGAAAGAATAATTGAATAGATCGACAACACGAAAGGTCGAAATGGCTGACGATGACGATAGTTTTTGTTGTCTTTTGTGATATTTTTTATCAGATGGGGGTCTACATATTTTATTTTACTATTGTTAAAAGTAAATTTTGATAAATCACTTATTTTACATTTTATCTTTATTGTAATTTAATTGAGCTGTGTATTTAAATGCGCTTTCGAGAGTAACGCACAAATGCACTTGTAGCTTTTGTATAGTTAAAAATGAGGGATGTTGCTAAGGAACTGTTTCTTGTCATCAATGAAGAATGAACTAAATGGAGATTCATTCACATAAGTATACTCACGGATTGTTCAAATAGAAAATCGTTGGAGACTGATAGCTATATTATTATTTAGAACAATAGTTTATAATTGAAACTTCGCTTGTTTTTAAAAGTAATGTAGTACCTATGGAAATAGGACTATCTCATATGCACATAAATGAAGCGTAATTAATATTAAATGTAAAATAAATGAGATTCATTATGAACCGAAGATCGTCGATGAAAATCTACGGGCTTCTCTATCCATAGATAGCAGACTAAATTAGTAGCTAATAGTCTACATGATCTAGTATAATATTTGGGATTATTCATTAAGAAAGATAGGAGCTTTCAAATATTTACCATTATTTTTGAGTCATCTATTCTAATGGTTGGGGTCGGATTCGTCCTATATTTTAATCAATTTTCCTATCATTCCTATTAGCAATGAAAAAAAAGTAGAATATTGCTTAAAACAAGCTTATAGTTGAAGTCAAATGTTCGTGTTTTTTAAACAAACCGATTTGATCCCTAGTGATTCATTTATATTTTTCTTAAAATAAAATTTCTTTTCAAGCTATCAAATGGACTAAATGACAATAAATGACTATTCTAAATGAAATAGTCTTTATAAATGCTTGTACTTTTCTTGAAGCTTTTCTTGCTGTTTATTTACATAGTTATGCATGTATCAGAGCTCCGCGTGGGACGAGATGGGACGAACGTTTTTAGAAAATTTTAAGCAGACAAGAAAGAATCAAAATCTCTTTCGATATGATTCTATGATATGCATACTATCTCTATCCATTAAAATTAAGATCGTTGTCTATGATGAATTTTAAAAGCTTGTATTCGCTTTTTAAAAATATTTTTGGTAAATTACACAGCATATACCGAAAATGTTTTAAAATATGAGAATAAAATTTGAAAGCGGTCACTTACGTCAATAGATATAATTTTAATGGATAAAGATAGTAAGTATATAATAGAATCACCTCGAAAGAGACTTCAATTCTTTCTTGCTTGCCTAAATTTTTTTTTAAATGTTCGTACCATCCCGTCCCACACGGAGCTCTGGCATGTATATCGTCGTGCCCAAGCGTAACTATGTGACGTTTTTGACAAATTTGTTTCTCATTATCTCGGAGATTGTGATAGAAAATTCGCTCCAAGATTATTCAATGTAACTTGTCGTGCTTTGTTTATGTCATAAAAATGCCCATTTTTGGATAAAGCCCCGACCTTACAGAGAGGTTGCATTGCACTGTGACATAAAAAGATTATTTTCTTCAGAGTCGCTAGTAAAACTGCAATTTCTTATGAAACTATTTCTCCAAATGAAACGCTTCTAGGGCTAGTTTTGTAACGCTTTGATCACGACTTTAAACGCGAATTTTTTTTGCTTGAATAAAAAATGCAAAAAACACACATATCGGTTTTAGTGACATTGAAACACAGTTTTTTCTTCATCAATTTTATGACACTTCGCACGATCAGAATGATTTGATTTTTTATCCGTGTTAGTCTTTTCTTTATAACTAATCGTTATACACAAGAAAAAAATCGAGATATCTGCATGGAAACTCATACGCGGCACAGTGAGTTAGAAACTGCATTAGAGTCTACGAATTTTCATTAGCTACGAAAGTCAGAACTTAATAGGCCATCTTGCATAGACCAAAATTCTGCATAAAAAAATGTGTCACCGATACTTTTTGAAAAAATTTCTTGGTTAAAAAATTCGGTTTGAGTGTAGGTGATTGTTAGTGTAAATGCAATACTCACAACCACATCCATTTTTTCCCGGCTTCGATTAATTAAATTTGATCGAAATTACCTATTTATAGATTATTTTTATTTTCTTAGACTTATTCCAGATTACTTCTAAGTATATTTCTATTGTATTTTTTAATATTCTGATGTAGATTGTCTCTCTTCACGAAATTAAACTTTGTGAATTATTAAGACGTAGTTTTAATAACGTTCATCTACGAAATGTATTGAGTGATAATCCCAACGAATGGTAATAATGAAAAATGAAATTCGTTTTGAACTGAAGATCTTCGATGAAAATGTAAGAGTGAGTCTTTCTATGCGTAGGTGGAAGATTAAAGTAGTAATAGTCAAACATAAATTAATATACCACTCCCGATTGTTTGCTAAAAATGATGATAGAAACGTTGAAGTATTTACTATTATTTTTGAGTCATCTATTCTATGGAGAAAGTCAATGATTCGTAGGAAAATATTTATTCCGACACGATCAAATCATTAGGATAGAATTATTTTAGAAATAACAATTTTTATTACTAGAAATATTCCGAACGACTGATGACGTATTCTTCGACAAGCATACCGCAATTCATCAATCGACCAATCAAATCCAAGTTATTTGATTACATCAGGGAATTTCAAATTTGTTTAAAGACTTTCTATTTCTAAGAAAATCGACCATTTATGATTGTGAGCTATTTTTGAGGAAATATTTTTCTTGCATCGTTGGAGTGCATGGAAAAAAACTGATATATCATTATGATTTTATCGTTATCTATTTGAATGCTTCGATATCAAGGGGCGATTATGATTTGCAAGACTACTAAGTTATCACTTGCTGTATGTTATATAAATTATACTTGTCATATAGAGTTTACTCACTGTATACAAAATCTAGGATGTTGCTTGTTTAACATTAACGGTATAGAGTGAAAAGAGATCTGCTTTTATCTTACAATGCCGGAAGGTTTCGTAACTACTTTTTCAGCAGTGAACATCAACCACAGTAAAACAAATTATTTTTCGCTCCATGACTAACCAGAGAGCCGATCGAATTTCTATCTAACACAACGTTCGATGAATTGACATCGTACACAAGTTCTATGTTATGCACACTGTAACTAATTATGTCAAAATAAGCGATATCTAAGATTCCATAAAAGTATATTAGACTGTATATAAATAACCATCAAAAATAACGTAACCAATCATGCGTTAGATTTTATTCACCATGAATAGCAGTTGCCATTACATTCGAATCTTAGTAGTTGTAAGTATGATCATTTTTGACAATTTGTTTTGATTACTTATCGATAGAAAACAACCAAAGATGATATAATTCATCTGTTATTTTTATTTCAAACATAGAAAATATTATATCACGCATCTATTCAATTTAATTGTAGCAATACTATTTGATGATCTATACAAAAAGAGTGCTATCAAAACAGAATCTACATGATTCTTCAATATTTGTAATACATAATGATGCAATCTCTGAAAAAGTTTTTTTACACTGTTTTTATAATAAATACTTTCTATCAATACAGGTTACAATCAGAGAAATAAATTTAACCGTTGAACAGTGCAAAGAAATAGTAGCTGTTTCTCTTTGATCGAATGTCTAAATACTAATTAACATTTATAATTATGAAATTCAATTTGTATTTGAATTTTTCATCATGCTGCTTTTTTTTGTCGTTTTCAATCGATTAGTAATTACAAATTCTGCAATATAACAAATGAATCAACAGCGCATAATAATAATGCGCATACTGCAATACTCAATCAGCAAATATCATTATTCATTTAATGATACTGAACACGATTGATATGTCAATAATGTTTCGAGCCTCTGTTTTTTTCATACACTGTTCAAAGACATGTAGACAAATTTGGTTATAGAGAGAAATGGTCATTTACAATACAAAAAGAATGTAATGAAATACAAAAAAATGAATGAAGATGAGACAACATTGAGGCGGAGGCGGAGGACGAACGAAAGAAATAGAGAATGAATCGAAGACACGTTCGAACGATGACTACGGATTAACACACACACACACATACACATATATACACACGCGGAATAGCAATCAGCAATTGACCATCGATTGACAGTGACACGTTCATTACTCAAGCTTCTAGTCTCCGGAAAGATAGAGAATAACAGTTAAAATAGTTGTAATAAATCTCTTGATCGATACAAACGTTAAAAGTCAATCATTTGCCACTATTAGAGAAGAGGACAACATTTTCAACATATAGTAAGTATGCTTTGACTGTTCATTTACGAAGAAAAGAGATAGTTTTGTCAAAAATTAAATCGACAGTTGCTCTGAGCGTTTTTTTTTCTTTTTTGATTATTTCCGATGGTGAAAAACTTGGATGTGAATTCATAAAAGTCTCTTCAATTCATCGGTCTCGTGTTCTTTACTATTCTGCCTTTTTTGATTCTATGACTATATCAATAGAGACGAACAGGAAGACGGTATGTATCAAAAAGGAGACGCCAAAAGACTAGTTTATATGGAGTCAAATAAGCAATTAGCCTATTTTTGTTGATGACGTCGATCCTCATTTTGTCATATTGACTTAGCTTAGTTAATCCTTTGTCGAATAGGAATAGAGAAGTAGTGAACAATGTTTAAAGAATTGTAAACTAAACTAAAATTTTCTTTTGTACAATTACGTCGATGTATTGTTTTTTTTTAAATATAGAATTTCTTTTTTGTATGTATTCATTGAAAACGAAAAGAAATATCTTTGAAACTATTATTTGTTTTTTTTGTGCTTTTTTTAGATTTTTATTAATTAATCGATATACAAAACAACTTCACACAATATGACAATGGAGTGTTTTGAACGAGTAAGTTTTTCGAAAATGAAAAATAAGCAAATATATTATTCCATGGTTTCTACACTGACAACTCGTCCTAATCTCACATTTTCTTCCGGAGATGTACTTGTATCGACTGGACTTCGTCGAATATCTACGTATCGTGTCGGTGATACAGTTTTAGGTAATCTTGTTGATGCTGAAGGTGGTGTTCGTAGTCGTACTTGATTATTGGCGTTCTTTTGTCTTTGATTATTTGTTGGTAGAGGAGCATTTTTACCATAGACGTTTACTTGACGACGATAGCTATCTGGTTGTTGCGATGGTTTAACAGCTGGAAACATAGGACGTGCCAGATGTGGTCCTGTTGGCTGCGATGGTGCAGGTCGACGTGCATTATTATTGTTCACTTGTTTTTTTACCGGACTTTCTCGATCGTAAACAGCCGAGAGTGGTGTTCCGTTTCGTTGATGAAAAGGGCCTGTTGCTTCTTTAGTTATTGGCTCATAATTATGAGTCTGTTGATTTCCTCGAAAGTGAGAGTTGTGTGTTAGAGTTTTGTGACGTTGTTTCGGTGGAGGTAAAACATGAGATGCTGGTGAAGGAGCTCGATGTTTAATTGGATTTTCATATAATTGACTTAATGCATGAAGACTTTCTGGTAACATGACTGGTGCTGAGAAAACATCAGGTAAAAATGCTTTTTGTGCATGTGGTGGTCGTTCTACTCGATTTTCATATAATTCAGGTACTAAATCCACATATTCAGCTTTGAACTTTTTCCATTTTTCTGTACGTTTTATTTTCTCAGCATTACGATTAATTATACGTATACAGGCTGCTTTAAGGGTTTCTGAACCTGATTCATGTGCACTAACAAACATTTCGAGTGCGTTATCAATCGTAAGACGAAATAAAAGAAATTCACCAATTTGCCGAACCAATTTATCTAATCCAAATCGCTTAGCAACAATCAATAAACTTGATGCATTTTTTAAACTAATTAAACAACGATTTGTATACATAAAATTTAATATTTCATTCATAACATCCGATTGTACATCGTCGATACTTATTTGTAGAACATAGTCACCTTGCGATTCTAGATTATGATGTTCACCAAGAAAATTTCGAAACCATGCTGAACGGCCGCCTGTAGAAAAAATAAATAGATGCTTGTAAAGAAAAAAATAATGTTTATATCAATGAATTTTCGTACCGAGAATACATCGATGAGTTTGTATTTTAACATTATCTTCACATTGTAGAATTGTATCATAGAAAAGACCATTTCTTAATATATCGAATAAATCTCCTTCGATATCATTGAATGGATATAATGTTTTTTCATTTTTAATATGCGTCTCCTTGGCACTTTGTACACCATTCTGATCGAAGACAATAGTTGATGGTGGCTGTTGAGATAGAGTACCGCTTATTGATATTGAATCATCAGCACTCATGCTTAGCGAACTTTCTGTTTGTCCCTGTTTTGATTCGATTGGTTCTAGGTCACTCATATTTTGAGTTTCAGCAATCGACTTATACATGTTTGGTTCATTTTCGCCAAACTGTTGAATTCGTAAATGATAATAGACTCGTTCACGTTTACAATAATAACGTAAAACATATGTTGGACTATTACAAAAAGGACATAATGCTCGAAAACGAACATGACCAGTTGTAGCTCCATGTCTTTTGTCTACTCTTTGATACGGTATGGCAACATTTGATCCATGTTTGTTTGACGTCAAAATTTTAACGTTACCTCCATGATTGATATCCGGATTTCCTGTATTATCAATAAGAGATTCCTCGCTAAGTTGAAACGGAATCAATGATCGACATCGATCACAATGAATCGATTCGAATAATAAATACCCATGGCAACCACATACAGTTTGGATCGATGCATACATTGCTATGAAATATCTGCGATGATTTCAATAAAGAATACTATTAATATTGTTGTTGTTCTGTATCGAACCTTGGATATGAGTATTTTATGAAATACAAAAAGAATGAATTAGAGAAAAAGAAAAAAAATGAATCTGAATGTTCACTCTTCTTTTTTTTTGGTCGTTTGATTATTGATTGTTAATAATGAATTTTTATAGTCTCTTATTGTTATGATTTCGCCCAAGTTACCAACACCAACGTATTTCTTATTTGAAAAGAGAAAAAAAATGAAGCCAAACAAAATTTAAAAAATAGAAAAAAATTTTTGTATTCTATTTTTAGGGCAAATCAGTTTGGTTTGATTCAGGCGCTGCTTTTCCAATAGCTGGTGAAGTAGTCGAAGTGACACGAAATCGTATATCAATTAAATCACTTGTCAATGGAAAAACATTTGTTTTTGGAATCGATGAGACAAATCGATTTGGAATACGTATACCATTGCCACCCGAAGGCGTCAATGATATGATAACAATGAGCGATTTAAGTGAAGCTTCTATTCTTTGGAATATCAAAGTTCGATACGATCATCGACAATTTTATGTAGGATTTAAGAAAGAAAAAAAGAATTTTCTTTTGAAAAAAAAAGAATTACTCTAATACGAACATTTTTTTGTTTCTCGCTTGAAATTCTTAGACATACATTGGCAGTATTCTTGTTGCTGTCAATCCATATTATATGTATCATGATATGTATTCAATTGATTATGTACGAAAATATGAAAATGCTCTAGTTCTTCATGCATATCCTGCGTATGTGATAAATAATATATCGTTCATTTAATTTTCTCTCTATAATTATTTTGTAGCCATATTTTTGCTACGGCATCGTTAGCACATAGTAAAATGATGTCAGATAAAATAAATCAATGTGTGGTAATTAGGTATGTTAGTTATAAATGCGGGACATCTCATTTGCAAGCTTAAATTTATTTTTAGCGGTGAGAGCGGCGGTGGAAAAACTCAAAGCACAAAGTTAATCATGAATTACTTAGCAGCAGTAAGTCTTCTTCGGTATGAATTTTGATTTTGAGGAGAAGACTTTGAAAACTTAGGTTAATCCAGGGAAAAATAAATTAATTACTGAACAAATTCTTGAAGCATCACCATTACTTGAATCATTTGGAAATGCAAAAACCGTTCGTAATGATAATTCGTCACGATTTGGAAAATATATTGAAATTTATTACTCACAGTAAGTTTTAACTGTATCGCTTTATTAGATAAGAATTTCGTTTTTTATTTCATTAAGAAAATCTATTGTCGGTGCGAAATTATCGGATTTTCTTTTGGAAAAAAGTCGTATTGTAACACATTCAACTGATGAAAGAAACTATCATGTTTTTTATGAGCTACTCGAAGGATTTGATACAGAAGAAAAACGTAAATATGGTTTAACAACACCAGAAAAATATTTTTATCTTAATCAAGTAAATTTCTAACACTTATAATTAACTTTATATCGATGATTTTCCTTCTCTCTCAAGGGCGCTTCAATGGCTATAGCAAGTAAATCCGATGCACATGATTTTCAATCATTGTTAACTGCCATGAAAATTCTTAATTTTACAAAAGTTGAACAAGAGACAATATTTAAAATTCTTGCGGCCATCTTACATCTAGGAAATATTTATTTTTCACGTACAGTTGATGATCCTAGTCATGATTTAATACAGATTAGTTCAAAAACTGAAATTGAATGGTGCTCACATCTACTGGCAATCAACGAACAAGGTCTTCTACAAAAACTAACACATAAAGTGACTGAAGCTCGTGATGAACGTCTCCTGTCACCGTTTAATCTTGAACAAGCACTTGATTCACGGTAAATTTCCATCGAAGAGTCGAAAGAAAAAACATTTCTTTATATTATATTGTTTTAGTGATGCCATTGCTAAAGCTCTTTATGCAACATTATTTAGTTGGCTTGTATCCCGTATCAATCAGATAGTTCGTGTGAATAATAGTGTTGATAATAGTATTGCTATTTTGGACATTTTTGGTTTTGAAAATTTTGCGACCAATAGTTTTGAACAATTATGTATAAACTATGCTAACGAGGCGTTACAATTTCATTTCAATCGACATGTATTTAAGCTCGAACAGGTTAATTTATTCTAGAAAAACCAAATTTCAAAGAAAATAGTATTGATTACCATGTGTTCGGCGTTTTTTTTTTGCTTATAGGAAGAATATGCAAAAGAAAAATTATCATGGAAAAAAATCGATTTTGCCGATAATACCGATTGCCTTGATTTAATTGGTAAAAAACCAAATGGTATTCTGCAAATTCTCGATGATGAAAGTAATTTTCCTAAGGTAAATGAATACCATAAAAAAAACAAATACATTCGATTCAAAACGAGTGAGTGATCATCGATTATTCAAATCAGACTTTAATGAAGTTTTGTTCAGCTTGCAGTAATAGTTAAAACAACGTAAGAGATAACTTGAATTGTTTATGGAAAAATAGATATAATATATTTACCGGCAATCAAATATGATAATGATTATTATATATATATATATATGTGTTAGTAGAAAGTACTCCGGAAGTACGTCAAAAAGGAATCAATTTTTTTTCCTTAAAGGTAATCGTATGTAACAAATGCCTTTAACCTCAATCTATTGTTCAGATGGCCTCACTCTCATAAGATTTGCGCTACTTCATTTAATTGATACTTACTAATTTCATTGAATAAGGAATATTTATTCGGCTTAAAAACATTCTCTCGTTTTATTATTATTATTATTATTATTAATGTTTAGATGAGATCGATAATATGTTTGTATAGTAACACTAGAAATTCACGATCACCCAGATCGTGTAACAAAGCAACTCTTTCGGTTGAGTAGGGCAAGACGACCGTCATCAGAAATATTCCCTTGAATTATATATAGATTTATTCATTGTGTTGAATGAATATATAACAAACAAGAAAAAAATGACTTGAAAATTCTATTAACATTTTTATTACAGAATTCATAAAAATTCGATATTCAAAAGCTAAGCATATTATACTACGATGATAATTTCGGATTTGAACAGAATTATATGCTATATCATACGTCTACACTTGAAAAGCGACGGTAGACTATTTAAAAAATTTCGCGAAAGAATCATAGAGAAAAAATTCTTCCAAAAATAGAATATTTAATTTGTTCTTTTATTAATTAAGGCCACTGATCAATCATTTCTGCATAAATGCCATCGTCTCCATGAATCAAATCGTTTATATGGTAAACCTCGTTTATTAAAAACAACATTTAGTATTCGACATTATGCAGGCGAAGTTGAATATGATGTAAGTGAATTTAATGCGTTATTTTTTTGAATTTAATGCTATATCTATAAAAATCTACAAAGGTACGCGGATTTCTTGATAAAAATCGTGATTTATTACGCAGCGATGCTATCGATTTGTTTTCCTCAAGTCGAAATGAAATCTTAGCTGATATGTTTCGTGATATACGTGAAGTCTATGAATCTCATCGTGGTTTTCATTTTAAAACCGGCCGTTTCATAACAATGAAGGCTAAAACTCCAACAGTGTCAGCAAAATTTTCTGATAGTTTATCAAATCTAATCGATACAATGACACGTTGTCAACCGACATTTATTCGTTGTGTTAAACCAAATAATGATAAAACACCAAATAAATTAGAATTATCCGTTGTACTCGAACAATTACGAAATACAGGAATGCTAGAAACAGTACGAATAAGAAAATTAGGTTTTCCACGGCGTTATTTATTTGAACAATTTGCTAAAAGGTTTGTTGAAAACTAAAATTTATGAAATTAATGATCGAACAACTTTAGATATCGTTGTTTAACATCAAATCCAATGGATAATTCAGATCCAAAAGAAGTAACAATACATATTTTAAATACTCTACCAACAAAATTTACTTCTAAATATCAAATAGGAATAACAAAAGTAAATTTTTTCTATTAGAAAAATAAAACATAATCGAAACGTTCTCTTCTGTTTTCTATTATTCAATAAGGTTTTTATGCGCGAATCACTTGAACAACATCTTGAAAAAGAACGTACACAATTATTAAGTGAAGCAGCATCAACAATACAACGTACAATCAAAGGTTATATTCAACGCAAAAATTTCGAAAAGCAACGGCAAGCAGTTCTTATCCTTCAAAGACAATATCGTCGTTGGATTGATAGAAAAAAGTAAGTCAAATTTAAATATTTACACTATTGAACGACAATAAACATAATTACAAGTCGATCATGATCATTTAACGAAATGTCAGACAGGGATTATTTGATTAATTGAGTTAGAGACAATAGTAAGAAAGACAAAAAAAGAAAAACATGTTTGCGATTATTTGTTAGATTTGAAAAATGAAAGCAACAGGAACACCACCATCACTACCAGTAGTTCGTTTTCAACGTCGGCCAAGCTTAGGAACATCGATAGCGCGAGCTATGATATCGATGAGTCCGGACGTTGCTACATTTGATAGAAGTAGTGAAAAATCGTCAAGTTTGAGCATAAAATTATGTGAATCCCTTGAATCATCTGTTTCGGGCACATCCTGTTTTTCTCGGTCGACCGCTCTAAGTCATGTAACAGGTAGTAGTTCAACATTACATTCGATATCGGAGTAAGAAAAAATGCAGCGATGCCCTATATTTTCTGTCATGATCGAATTTTATCTTGTATTTAGGCAAATCACATCGCCAACTTCTCCAGACTATCAGGTAGATTTTATATGAAAACAAAATGATTCTATACTAATATGTTATTGTTATTTTTAGACATCACAATTTAGTGCACTTGAAATACCGAATGAATTAAATTCAATTTTCAATCGACTTGATGGTACGTATAAATTGTTTCTTTTTATTTTTGTCTTACAATTGACGAGTGTCTATGACTATCTTCAAGTTGAATGCAATAAAGAAATATTCTCCAATTATTCTTCTAGAATCTTACAGCTTTTACTCTGAGTATGTACCGGAATTTTTTTCAGTATAATTGGTATCGTTGAACTGTAGCACTTTAATGTCAGCTCGATCTCGATTACTTAAGATTTTAAAGTTCTTAAGAAATTAGGATGCTTGGAACTAGATTTGTAGAGATCTGCTTTTTCTCCACAGCAATATTTTTATTGTACAATCATCTCAAGATATTCAGTAGATATTTGCACTATTTAGAATTGAGTATTGAATTTCTCATTTTCTTTTGTTTTTGAGAACTCGACGTCTATTCTCATAAATCATTTTATTTCATGAAATACCATCCACTTACACATAAATATTCTCTTTTATAGCTTGGCAAGAGCCACATAGCGAACAAAACATTACTGAAACTTCACGATCGACAAATGTTATTCCTTCCGAAAAGCATGTACTTCCAGCAAGCAATACTTCAGAAACATCTTCGTTTATGAAATATATTCAAGAAAATACTAATGTATGTTTATTTTAATCTGTCTATATTCATTTTTATAAAATTTCCAATCACCTGATACTAGCTTTGCATGAAATGGGATCGTATATTAAACCCAATCAAAGAGCCATTTACAAAAAATATAAATGATCAAGAACATATTCAATTAGCAGTAACCTTATTTAAATTAGTAAGCTAGAAAATATTTCATTTTTTTAAAAACTCTATCGATTGAATGGTATAGATTTTACGTTTTATAAATACATCGGAGCATGATGCCAAAAAAGATCGAGCATTAGGTGATTATATCGTACAAATGGTATGTTAAAAAGCAGACCGCTGAATTATCTTTTCTAAATAATTCTTTTTATTTATTGAAGGGTTTAATGAATGAAATTCTACGTGATGAAATCCTAATTCAAATAATAAATCAAACGTGGAATAATATTGATTTAATTAAATTAGATAAAGCCTGGCTTTTAATGTTTAATTGTATTGGCTGTTTTTCACCGTCACCAAAATTTCATAAATATTTATTCAAGTATTTTACTTTCGAATGCGATTGATTTCTATTCATGTTTTTCTCTTTTGTTAGATTTGTGTCAGAAGAAAATCCATCAATTAATGAATTAGGCAAACGAAAATTATTAGCAGCAGCTTCTACTGATGCTTCAAGAACATATCCATCAACACAATTGGAATGGTCAGCTAATAAGCATTCGGCTCCAATGGCACTTCAAGCAGAATTTTATGATAGTAAGTAATATTTTTTATAGATTATATGTGAATAAATTTTCGGTCTGACTCATATAAATGATTTCGCTGTGGAATTTCTAATGCGTTTTGTAAAACAATCAGATCCCACAGTAGATAGGCAAAAAATACAATATCCCAATGAGTTATTTTTATTCCACAAGAATTGAACAAAACAAACTTCTTCTACTTTAATTAGCTTTTCAAGCGATGGGTGAAGTTGAATCATGGATGACCGGCGAACAATTTGCCTATGAATTGGTATCATCACGTGGTATACTAAAAGATAATTGTTCCGGATGGACTGTACTATTAGACGATAATGATAATGAAATAGAACTTATGGGACATGATTATGTCCTTGATTTGATTGGTGAATTAGAAGTTCCTCCGTGTTCACCAGTTTGTAAATCATTTTTTCTTGTTCATGATGGTTATGATCGTTCATCAAAATGCAAAAAGCGTCGTCATAATCGTACAACAGTCAGGTGAGTTCTTATAAATACAGATCAGAAAAGAAAAAGAAGTTTATTCTTTTGATGACCTAAAAAAAATGCATAATAAAAATCTAAAAAATAAAATAGATCGAAAGAATGGTTTTTAAAAGTCGATAATTCTCGTTCAAGTCGTTTATCAAAAACTGGTCGAACTATTTCATCATCAAATAATTCATCGCCATACAAATATCCGAGACGTTTCAGTAGTGTTGATCAACATGAGACTGAAAAAAGTTATGCTAAACATCATTCGCCTGTTTATCATGATTTGATGAGTAAAAAATCGAATTCCTCCATATCATCATTTGAAAGTCATGCTGAACCTCAGACGTTTCCACCACCACCACCGACTATAAAAGATCTGTTAAAAGCTGATGCACACAGCGTATATTCAATGACAGATGGTCCAGAACAAGAAGCAGAAGAAGAAGAAGAAAAAGAAGAAATTCCTATACAGAAAACTGAAATAAATAAAGTGGCGCATCAAGAAACACCACCATTACCACCATTGCCATCATCGTCACGGTCGGGTAAAGAAAAACCAAAAATTGATGATGAAATAAAACCTGTTGAAAAAAGAGTGCAACTAAGTAATCAATCGTCAATAGGTAAAACAACAAATCCAAAATCGAGACAATCCTTAACAAATGAACGTAAAGGTTCAATACGTAAAACAAATACGTTTACATCATCATCACATTCTATGGTTGATCCAGGATGTGGTGGACATATTATGTCCAAGATACCTGCTTTACGTTGTTTCCGTTCAACAAAGCAACATCATTATGCACAAAAATCTCATAAAACGCCATCATTACCTCCACCACCAACACGTACTGTTAGGTAGAGATACATGGCTTGAAAATATATTTTTAGTCATGCATGGGACTGCGCATGAGACGAAAATTTGCATGTAATGCTTCTCTCTTGTCTTGAGCATTCCTAGTATCATGAAATATTGTTAAGATCAACATGGAAATATCTACATTTTTGTTTTTTCTTCTTAGTGAATATAATGGTGTAGATAATCCAGCATTATTATATGGAGAATTTTCTGGTGGTTCAGATATACCAGCAAATTTAAATCAATATGAAAAAATTGGTAAGAATTGATTTTATGTCTAACGTTAATGAAATTTCCTGTTCTAGGTTCATCTATTCAACATAGAACAAAAGTTGTATGTTAAATTGTTAATTACAGTTTTGCTTGATTTATTTCTGTTATGTTTAGAATGGTCATAATGATGAGTATCACCTATCAAGTGTCTATTCGGATGGAGATGCTCATCCTGATCTAACTGAATATGAACCTGATGATGTACAACTAAGAAGAAATTCACCAACAAAAGATATTACAAAATCAGGAACTAAGTAAATTAGAAATCAATCGAATGCAATACTAGTTTTTTTCTGATGCGGATACGATGAGATCAGTTTCTAGGAATCGTCTATCTATATCTAGGACTGGTCTAAAGCAGTCGGAAAAAAATGAATAAAGCCATTATTTACAAGCACACTTACCCATTGAATCACTACTACAAGGATTAATTCTTTTCATTTGAGACAATACCTATGCGTATGTATAGTCGGATAAAACTTACGTTGATTCTCGTATTATCCAAACTGAAACATTCTAAATAGACATGTAGATGATAGTCCCAGCAGAACTAAAATTTCATTGTGAAATTGCAATATCCATGATCGTAATAATTTTATTTAGATTTGTAAAAAACAAAATGGTACGGCCAAAAGCAGGAGGATATCCACAAGCTAAAAAACAAGGAAATACCATGTAAGTGACAGCGTAAAATAAAAGCCAAATTATTCTAATATTCTATTTTATAGATTTGATTCCGAATCGATTGCTACTATCACTGATCTTCCATTGCCATGTCATAAATCTGACGTTGAAGCATTTCTTGATGATCTCTTCGATCGTGCACTTGATCCAAAAAATTTAGGAAAGAAAATCAATAAAACAAAAGCACTGTCAACACTGGATCAACATCGTTTACAAATGATATCCAATAGTCGCATTGATCCATCAGCGCGTCGCAGTGGCCTAGCAACTTTACTGAATAAAAATCATCCACAGAAAAAATCAACAATTCGTTCATCGAATGTCCAGGAGCAAAAAGGACCAAAAAAGAAAGCAAAACAAGAAAAAAAAGAAAGTTCAGAACAAAAAAAAACTCAGAAAACAAAGAAAAAACGTATTCAACAATTAAATACAAACAACAATAATAATACAGCACTAACAGATCAAAGCCTTTCGTCGTTTACAAGTGAAAATAAATTTATTCTCCCTCAAATTGGCTATTCAAGTCGAACGGAAACGGATGACACAAGTGATTATATCAAATTTATTGAAAAACCGAAGCATCGTGTTTTCTATCGTCAACCAAGTGGACTTCGTCGTACTCAACGATTTGATCGAATACGTCAACCCTCTTCTACTAACTGTAATGAACAAAAGCATGTTGTTAAACATTCTGACTCTGTAAATCAATGCTATCCTCATTCGGTAGCATTCTAAATTTAGAAAAAGACAAAAGAAAAATACATAACCATGATATTAACTTAATTGTGTATATATTTTACGCCAAATTTTAGATATGTACGTTTTTATAAATAATTAATTTTATCATCCTGGATTCGTCGGCTATCGATCATAATTTTTTTCAATCAAAAGATAAAAAAAATATAAAACTTATTCCAATCAATCCGTCTGTATGCTTTGCCACAACATCATCGAATACGAAACCAAATGAATTACTAGAATCCACTAGCCCTAATGGACCTGTTTTTGTACCAGTTATTAACATCAGTGGGAAGAAATATCTCCCAGTCTACTTAAAATCATCAACCAATGATAGCAATCCGGTGAGTTCTTCAGGAAAAAAAACATTTTTATGTTGAAATAAAACTAAATCATTAACTATTTAGACAGATCAAACAAACCAATCTGACTCAATGCCCTGTAAGCGGCTACGTTCAACATAAAAACGAATAAACTATTAATATGATTGAAATTTTTAGATAATCCAGAAAAATATATTTCACAAATAATATCTCCTAACCAATTAAATACGTCGAAACAAACGCCAACTATAATCGAAGAAAATGAAGTTGAAACACAATCAAATCCATCTCCCATAGCACCAAAAAAAGCCAATATTCAAGTCGAACGTCTTTCAATGTCACAATTAGATTTAGTATCCACACGTAATGATCAATCAAAAAAACAGCCGGTCTCAAAAGAAAATTCAGTAACAAGCAATAAGTAAAATAATTTTTCATCACAATATCTTGTTCGTTTCAAAGTTTAACGATGATCCACTAGTAACTTGGCTATGTTGAGAAATCTGCAAAGTTTCTTATTCAGTAGAAATACTTTTCTCAATTAATACTAATTAGCCAACGCAGTGAAGAAAAACTCTACCAGCTTAGCTATTTTTTTTATACTTCACATCGTACATTTCTTAGTTGAACTGCAGGTCGTTGACATTAGTTCGCTGTCAGATGATTGAGTTAAAGAGGAAATGTGCTGTATGATTACTATTCTCATTATTAGTTCTACAACACTTTGTAAAGTGTCTGTACCTGTCCAACACTTTAATTAAAGTCAAGTAAATCGGGCTGAATTAGTCTGAGTTTCTACAATAGTGAATAGGCTAACGCGGGATAGCGTTGGTATGAAATTCGAATAGATTCTTTTATAAACAAAAACAAAACTTTCATCAGCTCTCTGCCAATGAGAGAAAAATAAGCCCTATTGAATCAAATAAATTTGAGATACTAAATGGATCTACTATCTTGCACTTACTTACTAGTTTTACCACGGATGTAAAAGATTTTATATATCCTTGATTTTATTTAAGTCGACTTGCAATCAAAGTTACATCAAATGTAATCACACGGCGTTCTCCTGAATCTCAAAAATATCTACGAGCCAAAACAGTGCGAATAGGTAAAATTCGTTGGCCACCACCACTCAATGCAGAAGAATTAGATAATGCTAATCAGCAAAGGTTTGATTTTCTGTAATTTTTTATTTCGAATATCTTTTTCTCTGTCATTCTTTAGACGTATGCTGGTACAGCGTCGTATCCAAGAAGAAATTCATGGCAATAAAACAATCCAAAAAGAGATAAAACAATCCATGAATATCATTTCAAGCAATGAAACTTCACCAACATCTCTAGATACTTCTCAACGTTCTCAAAGTGCTCACAATATAAAACAATTAACTGTGGAGTCAAAAAGTCAGAACACTAGACGTTCACAGTCGGACGACAAAGTCCCATCATCACCAGCGAATGATCAGCCGAGAAAATCTTCGTTAACCAATACGTCAGTTGATCGTGTATCACACTTGTCAGATAATGTTGAAGATGATGATCCATCGACAGGTGAACTTGTTGTTCGAAATCAATCACCAAAACAAGAATTTCATAAGACAATGACACCAATGTTTGTAAACAATCAAATGAATAGCAAGAATGTGGACTTTTTTCTTTGATTCTAGGATTGGAAAAGAAAATTTTGAGCTTCGCAAAAAACTATTTGAACATACTGATGAGCCATCATTTGCAGGTAAGAACGATGCGAAAAGAATATTTATAAATCCTATTAAGAAAATAATAAAACAGTTAACTATTTTGAAATTATGAATTCAACTTAGATCTGTCTGCTTCGAAGTCAGAGTGATACCAGTAGAATAGTCAAAAGTTTTCCGTCGTATAAGTTACATATTTCTGAAATTTTAGGATCCTAATTTGAATAATACTGGCAAGACAAATAGCAACTAAAACATGCAGCTAAGAAAATATAAATCATGTATTTCTCTACGAGAATTTTAAGAACAATTGTCAGCAGATTAAAAACCTCCGGTTGGATGAGCTCATATTCTCGAATACAACTGAACTTATCGATAAGCATTTTCTATTTCGGAAAAATCAAATAATTTGCTTCTGAAGATGTTTTTACCGAGAGTGCGAGACGAAACTGAGCTGTTTTGAATAAGCATCTTGCTAGCGCTGTGGTGAATAGTATGGCTTAGATAGAACTATTCTATCATATTTTCGTATTTGAAAAATTCTGCATTTTACTTCAAATCGTTGATCATCTATTTGATGAATGATTTTTTTTATATGTTTAGAAGTCGGTCCTACTGTCATCGATGTAGTAAATGTGTCAAATAGAGCTCCATCGCTGCCAACACGTGGCTTTTTAACTTATCACAATATTCCATGGAAATTAAAAATTCGAAAAGAGGTATAGAAATATTCATTATTGTGAAAGAAAATTTATTTAATTGAATCAAAGGTTTTTTCACCGATCGAACCATTTGATCAACCACTTCTAATTGATTTACTATATCTACAAATTGTATATGATACATTCTCAGCAATATGCATTCGTATAAGCGAATCAGAACGAACGAATATGAAAACATTTCTATGTAATTTATTCGTTAAAAAATGCCGAGTAAAATAGAATTTGTTTTTCATTTAGCATCACATGATGTTCGAGTCATTGATGACATAAATTTAATCAATAAATTAACAATCAAAAAAGCAATTATTGAACAGGCACGACAATGGGCAACATACTTTTGTCGATTTTTTCCTGTCTCTGTATGTTTATTGTAGCAATCAGAAATCTTTAGTTCCATGTGATTTTCTATTCAAGATACCTAAATTTCACTCTGGCGAAATACAAATGCTAGGTGTTTCGCATTCAGGTGTTCGATTTATTAAACGAATTCGAACAAAAAACAAATCGGATACTCTACAAGTACTTGAAACATGTCCATTTGATACTTTGCAACAACTTTCACCAATCCGTAATGGTTCTACGATTGATTTACGCGTAGGAAAAAAACGAATCACCGTACATTCACACCGAGTATATCTCATGAAAAACATTTTCCCAACAGCAAAAAAATCCATTTTTTGTTTCTCTTATTTATAGATACAAAAAATTATACAACTGATTGATAAATTCTTAAAAGAAGCTCGACCTGATAGAATTAAACGCACCTTTACACCGAATCAGGCAAGTATCAATATATAAGTGAATTGTAAATCATTGATACGACTAGTAAGAAAAGTCCCAAGGCGATCTATACAATTTTATGACTAGCAAATTTATCGAGTCTGATATTCTACGTCATACTACAGAAGCTTTTGAATTATTCGGTATGTTCTACTAGATACGACTTGCGTAGTTCAGTATACGCACACGTATCGTGAAAGCGTTATTGAATTGGAAGAGTATTTTGCAGCTGAAATTCCACTTAATAAAATTATTTACTGATTCAAAATCACTGTTTACAATACAATTTGAGTCTTGTTTCCGAGTTAAAGAAATTCCAGCAGCCTGATATGTTATTCGTTTTAACTTATTACTTCTAGAAACGAAAATGTACGTACAGATTTCAATTAGAATTATCTACTTTGAAAGTTCGCCTACTTCTATTATGAAATAGAAAAATTAAATCTATTATTTTACATGAGATAGAAACCAGAAAAATCTAGAATTTAATAGAACAACCTTCGATCTCTAGATATCAAACTCGCTTTGTATCTTGTAACAAATAAAAAACTGTTTAATGCAACCACCGATAATAACAGTTTTTAGCTAAAATTTTAATCATAGCCATTCATTTGGTTATATTTATTTTGATCTATATACTAGAAACAATTGTATGCATCTTTTTTTGTATTTAAAAAGAAAAATCACTATGAAAAAGTATCACCACATTTAATATCAAATACAAGTGATTTATTGAAATCGTCAAGCCAATGTAGTTTTGTGAGTTGCAGTCAAACATTCAGTGAACTTATTCCATCGACTTCATTTGACATGCATACACCAAAACCAACACAGAATGATGTCATTTTCCCAAATCTATCTACCTTGCCGGGTGGATATTCTATGATAGAATTTGCATTAAAAAATTTTCATGTTCCAAGCAGACGGTAAATAGTATCTATTCTAAACGATATAAAAGAACATGTAGTTCTGTATTAAGGCAATCCAAGAAAACGTCGAAGAATTCAGGTACTATTCTTTGTTTCTATTCGTATTAAATTAATTCTATTTTGTCTCTTTGTCAGAATGCACATGGCAAGATTATAATGAATTGCTTAAATGGTCAAAAGTAAGTTTTTGTTTTACATTTACTTCGAGTTAATCAAAAGAATGATGAGGATTTAATAGCAGCTGGGAAGTACTCGTCATCTCATTTTCAATAAATCATCAAAACAAGTAGCTATAATTATTCGTGCAAATTCCGAGTAATTTGATTTGATTTGCATATTTTCACTATCTTAGTTTACATAAGCCATTGATAGAAGGCTTGAGACAATGAGCAATATAATACTTGTGATCTGCAGTATTGCCTTTATTTAAAAATATGTATCGAAATGGCATCATTTTGATGTAAAGAATAAAGAAAACTAGAATTTTCCTTTAAATATACTTTCACATACAATTATCGCCATCAATTCAATTTCACTCCTCCAGATCTTATTGTAACGATTCAATAATTCGATCTGTAAGTTTGGAAACCAGCCGACTCGATATAGATTGAATATTAACACACAAGTCTTTTCCTTTCTACAAATGCGCCACCTAGCTTGAAACAGACTAAAACATACAGCAACGTTTTCATATTAGACCATTATATAGAAATTTCTCACAAAGTTATCAAAAACTATGTTCAGACTAAAATGATAATTTACATAAATTTCTCTTGTTTTCGTAGCATCCAATTCAGTCACCACTCCTTCGTCATGGGCCAAACGATATAAATCGTACTGTTCGACAAGCTTTTATTGGTAAATTTATTGTCTTCATTTTTTAATCGGAAAAAATCACAGTGGTATTCTTTTAGCCATTATGCGATTTATGGGCGATCATGCGATGTCACGGGGCCAAACTGATACCGATTGTCTATATTATCTTCTAAAAGTACTCGTCTAATTTCAACTTTTTATACTAGATAAAAATATTTCGTTTTGACAGCATATGAACAAAAATCGAGCATTAATTGATGAAATTATGTGTCAAATCATCAAACAATTAACAGATAATAAAAGTGCAAAGCAAGATAGTATGCAACTCGGATGGAAGTTACTTGCGATTGTACTTAATTATTTCATTCCAAGTGAAAATCTAAGACCGTATTTTATTAAATATCTTAATGATAATATAATTCAAAATGAAAAATTAGGTAAGTGGCATTTGAAGGCATTTGTAAAAAGGTAATGTTTTATTTAAATTTTATTCGCGATAGTTCAACTATGTTTGAATCATTATGAACAAACATTGAAATATGGTGGCAGAAAAAATATGCCAAGTAAAGTGGAAATCGATCTACTTGCAGCTGTAGGAAAACTTTTCTTTTGGTGTTAAAATACTAATTTTACATTTTAGAGTGGTCGACACGGAGGCAAACGTCAAATATTTCTATTACCAGGAGGAGTCCCATTGACTCTCAAGACGACATCATCGACGGTAATCAATTGTTGATAACTGAAACTATGACTGAACATGAGAAAAAAATAACAAATCTTCATTTGTTTCCTATTGTAAAATCTCCATAATATTTTATGTTTGAGATCGAACACTCTCCCTTTCACCTTCGATCTGGTAAAAAGTAAATTTTTTCAATCAATATTATCAGTGATGTTCTTTGTAGCTATATAAAAGATAGCTTCAATAAAGTTTCTACAATAGAAATTATAATCATTCGCTGAGTTTCTTTCAATAATTTATTCATTTTTTGTCTAATTTAAAATAACTTGAGATAATCAATAGATCTTTTTTGCAGTCGACGTTAGTGACTGATTTTTCATTGGATGAAGTAGATTAGGAGGAAATTATCGGTCTTCGAAAAAATAAATCTGTTTTGATAGATTAAAATTACAGTCACGTTTCATACATACGAAGGATATAGAGTGTTAGAGCGAATGAAGTAGACTACTGAACATAAGTTTTAATAAATATTTATGAACTTTTCGAAGAAAATAATGTTTTCACCTTTGTACATGGTTTCTATTTAGGTGATTGCTGATTGTCTAAATCTCGTATGTGAACAGTTGCATATGCCGAATAGTTTAGAATATGATGAATATTCTATTTTTATTATCAGTACTACGGGTGAATATTTTTGACGACAAAAGAAATTTCCTTTTCACTAACCTCTAAATTGTGCTTATCTAGAAAATCCATCACGTTTATTGAATCCAAATGAATATCTATTTGATATTCTTAGTGAATGTGTTGAATCAAAGATGACTGATTATTATTTAATTATAAAGCGTATGCTTTGGTTTAATATTCCTATGATATTCGATAATAATGACAAATCCGAAATGTTTATCAATTTCATGTATCATCAACTTGTGCCAGAATTATTTGAAGGTACCATGATTGCTATCAAAGACAATCATATATCGGATGATCTTATGGTATAGAAAATTAAACACATCTCAAAAGATATAAATATATTTTGATTTCTTGTAATTGTAGCATCAATTAGCACTGATGGCTGCTCTACATTATCGTGCTTCGAATAAGATTGGTCTTCCTTCAATGTATGTATATATTTATACGAATTGTTGTTTCATCGAAATATTTTGATTTTCAAGGCGAGAAGTAAAACATCTACTTCCAGCTACTGTACTCAAGTTGAAAAATATTCGTCCTCAGGTATGGACAACAACAGTGCACGAAGAACTTTATTCATCGGTCGAAGCGATGACAACAATGGAAGCGAAATTAAAATTTCTAAGTAAATATTACAATATTTTGTCTTCTATTTGAATCAACCATATTCTATCTAGCTGTTATTCAAGCATCGTCTCTTTTTGGTGTGACATTTTTCCCCGCTCAGGTCAATCATTAGCTGTTGTTTTTTTTATAATACTCATTTAGTTATTCCGTTTTTCTTTTTTTGTAGTCAGTAGATGATGCATCAATTCGATCACCTTGTATAATTGGTATTTCTAAAAGTGGAATTTTATTTCTTGATATAGATACACGAGTAAATAATAAACTTGCTCTTGAATTACGAGTATCAAGCATATATTTTCTATTGTACAATGATCTTAGGAAACTCTTTTTTCCATACCCTACAACGATGTGGTTTCAATTCGTCGTCGTCAAAATGCAATCGATGTTAAATACGGCAGTTTGAATCAACCTCGCCATATCCAATGTCAAGTTGATAGGGTTAGTTTAGAATTGTGTATAATATAATTACGATATTGCATGAAGCACTTTTCTATCAATTTAGGCGCAAGATCTTGTTGCATTAGCTGGACGCTATTTGAGCTTTATTGGCCGAAGTCTAGCATCAGCGTTGGAGAGAAAGACTGATTCTCAACAATTTCATAGACCAGGATCCACATCATGCAATGATCCGACTAGTACAATATTGTAATTTACATTTTTACTTTCGATATCATGTAAATACATCTAGACAGAATTTGTCTGATATTAATGAAATAGGGAAAGTGAGTCAAGGACAAAGAACAAATAAATTTACAGTTAATCAGATGAAAATTTGTATGATTTTTTGTTTCTGTTTGCATTTATTGATTTATATAATACAGAGAAAGATATATATGACAGCACCCGACTCTGAAAGTTACTTTTTGTGAAATATATCAGTTTTAATGACCTATTATTTTGATTACTATTACTGTAATTTGAATAATTGATGAACATTTGATGTACCATCGACATTATTCACAGAAATTCTACTCATCATTCTGTAAAAAATTATTAAACGAATAATGTTGGTGGATTCTTTCTATTTCAATGTAATTGCTTTTGTTCGTTGAATATTTTGATAGTAGAATTAGGATTAAGATTTTAGAAAAAATTAGAAATAAAACAAGATTTGATTATTCAATTCAACTGAACTATGGCAGATATTACCTTCGCGCTCATATACATGCTCACCTTTTCTGGCAATCGACCACAGAAAATAATTTCAATCTTACATAATTGGAACTTATTCTTTGAAGTAAACATAAAAGTGACTATCTGAATGGGTTGCTTTCATGGTATAAAACTCGTCTCTTACGTCTATGGTAACTTTTCAACACACATATTTGCTCGAAGAGCATAAGAACATGAAGCATGACAAATGGATGCATACCATTGAACTTCTTTGCGTTGGCGACGATTATGCAATGAAGAGTTGATTACTGAAAGAATATTTTACTTGTATTTATTTCAGCAGTGTCCAAGGACTGAGAAATAGGAATCCCTAATGTGCCGAAGAATTGTCCGTGTCGCTGTGATAATTCCTAGAGGAAATGGGAATCAACTATGGGTTTCCTCACAACTCCACCATTCGCGAAAGTTGCGATATTGCTGTTTTAAAAATATTTTTTGCATGAAATCATGGATTCTCACAAATTTTCAAGCGAAAATGAGTGTAAGAACAAAAATTATCGTGAATATTCCATATTTTTACCTTTAGTATGCAAAGAACTGTAGGGGAACTGATGAGGAATTCCTAATCCTCAGTCTTTGGACACCCCTCAACAAAAGCGTATTTTATTTCAGTGCGTACAATCTCTCAAAAAAAGAAAAGGAATTCACTTGGCCTCTGTGCGAACTAAAAACCATGTTAAAACAAGTTGTTTCTCATGCGTTGCTATAATTTAGCAATAGCATTCTGAAAAAAGATTAAAAATGAATGAACATGAATGCTGCTCATGTACTCTGTGATATCAAACATTTGAGATAGATTAAAAAGTTTGCATGGATCTGTTTTAGTTGTAAAGAAAGACCTTGAAAAGTAAATTTTATTACGCATGGTTTATGCATTAGGAAGAGTAGAAAGTGTCGTGTTTAGACTTCAATCATTAAATAAATGACTTCCTTTCATTTTTAACTCATGATGTTAATGAAGTTTCCAGCTGCTACTGATGAAGATATTCATTTCTAAACAGAAATATTCTTTGGCTGCAATTTATTTTTCAAATTAAGTGAGTTGTAATTTTACCCAGTTATTACATTTTTATTTGTCTATCTGAAACGGTCATTTTTGCCAAGGGCACTAGTTTTTTCCTAACGCATGACATTGTAGAAAATGTTAGATTCAATTATTAATCATAGAAGTTAAATGTTTTTTTTTTGTCCAAGTGCATCAGATTTCAAAGCAAAAATATGTGCATTAAAGAACTATCATGAATTATGAAAACGGTACTCAGTGGAGTCAAAATTATGTACATAAAAAAAAAAGATATATATCTTTGGTCGTGGAATTTCCACCTCATCATCGTCAACTATAAAGTATAACTAAATCCTGAGAAACAGGTCTATTAATAGAAATGATTTGTCACTTAATGATATCATTGTAAATTAAGCTACCTTTTCATTCTTTATTATTGTCACGCAAAACATTAGCACGCTCAAGTTGATGTTTATGAGAAACTCGCTACTATCGGAATAATGCTTTCGATTGATTAAATAAATTTCTGTAGAATATTTTCATAATGTGACGCATTTCATACGCATAGAATTGTATTGTTAATTTCAATAAAAAAAACTCAAATGTAGACAAAAATAGTCTTTTTTAGAAATAAGATATATTTTTTTTTGTACAAAGCATTGTAATTCAAATGTTTTTTGAGGAGGTTCTATTTAATTTATTTTCTATTGTATCAATCTGTCTACAATGGATTCGCTTGCAATTACTTTTATCCGTGCAAAATAGAAAATATTTTCTATAATTCATTTTGATATATTTCCCATAAACAAAAACACTGAATAAGACAATGTCTATCTGACCGCCAACAAATAGATACAATTCGTATAAAATCAAAAAAAAAGCAAAGAAAGAATAAACGCAGTCATACAGAGAGATTACTAAAAAAAGAAAGAAATACCAACGAAAAGGTATGTATTTTCTTTTTTGTTTCATCGTCGTTTACTGCCAAAACGAAGAAGTGATAATAGAGTTTTGAACGACTTCTTTTTGGTAGTTGTAGAAGCTGATGATGGATAACACAGTTCATGTGTAATCTCAACTGTTGGTTGAATGACTGGCTGGGATATCTGTACGGGCAAAGTTTCGAATGTCGAGCTGTGAAGCATCGACAATGTATTATTATCTTGATAGGGTGCTGGTAATGTTTCATAGCATCGATTGTTTGTATATAACACAGTTGAATCTTCCTTTCTAATATAATTATTAATCGATCGACATGATAAATTGTGATTAAGTGTCCAATGAACTTCACGACAATATTGACTACAATATGTTAATTTATGGCAATGTGGACAAGTTTGAAATGTTACTTGCTGAAAGAAAAAATGATAATAGTTTCTGTAAGAAATGGAAACTTTTTTCTTTTTTTTTCAAAACAACTTACATCATTTTCAATCATTTGACATAAAGAATTCGAACATTTTCGATATTGTCGATTTTCATCTTGATCCTCGTCTTCATCTTGACCATACGAATATTGTTTCACATATTCTTTTGATTGTTGTTGATAATAATGATATCGTAGTTTTTTCTTTCGTTGATGTCGTTCAAATAGAATCGTAGCAATTTGATTGAGTGCATTCGATATGGATGGATCACGAGATATAAATTCACTTCGTGGTCCATATTTATGTCTCATTGCACTAAGTAATTCTCTAAAATGTTCATTTTCACGATAAAATATTCCTATTTCTTTTCGACATCGAACAACACTTAAAAATGTTAAAGTTGCATAACTTAATGAATGAATTATTGAATGCTGCTCAGCATAGATAAGATGATTTATTTCAGTTTTGTTTTGATTATTATTATTATTATTATGATGATGATGATTATATTTCTGTTCATCGTCTAATACAGATTTATGTAATAATGTACAACAATAATTTACTAAACGAATTTGTGCTTCTAAAAAAAGATATGAAAATAGTCGATCTATTGATCTAGTTTCCTCTTTTTTTCAAATTACATACTTTCTGACCACATATCAACATGTTCAGCACATTGTAACATTATATTAAGACATTGTAAAGCAAGTGATTCAAATTTAATAAAATAAACAACAGAATCTATATATTTATATTCACTGGTATCAAATAGATCAATGATAATATCAATAAATTGCATATCAATTAAACTTTGATATGAATCGAGTAGATTTTTATTAACAATTACTTTACATAGACGTAAAAGAACAGATAATGATGGAATTTTTTCTTCAATTAAATGTCCATCACGAATTCCTTGCACGAGTTGAATAAGAAAATCCGAATGACGATCAAGAATAAGACGTGCAACTTCTGGTATAGTGGCAACATTACTTAATAAATCAAGACATTTTTGTTTAACACATCGAATACGAGAATCCTTGAATAAAAATTCGTTTGAAAACAAAATATTGATTAAGAAAAAAGAAATATTACTTTGTACATCATAAAAACAATATCAATAGCACCGGATTTGACAACATCATTAACGACAAGTTGAAAAATAGCAAAGAAATCTATAGGTCTATTATTATTATTTGCTAAATAAATAATCATATGTTAATCACATAAGTCAATAATAATTGTGCTAATACTTACGAAATTTATTGAATCCAGCTTCGCGAAAACGTTGTGGTTGTTGACCTAATTGTAGATCTCGAAATGTGTAATTTGATTGTTCAGCTCGAGCTAATCCAAAAAGCAATTGAGAGAGATTGAAGAGTGCCTCAAGTTGACGCGTTGCTATATAAATATCATAGTTTTAAATAGAATAAAAAAAGCATACATAATCCATTAATAAGACACATACCAATTTCAGTAAGTGGAATAACAGTAGGATTCTCCGCTCTCACATTCCAAGGAGATACGGCTTTTGATGGTTTAATATGCTTAAGAAAACATAATTAAAGATAGAAAGAAGAAGAGAGAAAAAAAGAACGAGAAATAACCAAATATTTACTCGAATTGTAAGTGTATCAAGCAGTAAGTCACTATTAAATGTATTCAGGTCAGGATATGAATACCATCCATCAGCAAATTGAATAATATCCATACATTCGATATCATTGGTCATCGCCGTTTGATTATTATCGTTAAAATCGGGAAGTGTAGCATTTTGATCTAGTACTGTTAGGACAGATCGATTAGCAGCTATACATCGCATTCTACTATATAGTTTATATATGTAGAGAGAGAGAGATAGATGGAATCTAGAATAAATAAGTGTACAATCTGAATTATTTTGACAATCCAATAGCTATAAACGGCAATGTAATCGAAACCAAAATGTATTTAAAAAAAAAGATGCCGACTATGTTATGTGTACATTTCTCTTCTTATCGGACTGATCAGTTTTCTTTGTGATTTGCATGACAAGATGATCTCGTTTCGTCGAAGAAAAAGAAGCGAAGGAGAAGATTTAATATAACGATATGTTTTATCTATTCGTTCTCTTTCGTTTGACATTCAATTGTTGGTAAAAGAAATGCCATTCATGGTAGCCATTGAACGTAGAGGGCAGTAGAATATACAAAATACAATATGATTGATTATTCTCTATGATAATTACCATCGATAGGTCTCATTATATCCGAAGATAATGAAACGTAAATTATTCTCTACATTGATTCAGTCATTGTTTAAGTAAACAAAGTAAACCCAGACACATTCTAAGAAATGTAATATTAAGCGGACTTAGAGAATTGCTTCTTTTTGCTGTTGCTATGTTTATCTTTTGTTCCTTGAATTGCTGTCACCGGCAAAAGGAAAGTGATCAATGCGTATTTCCTTCGCTTAGCTTTCGTGCTCGTTAATTGTCGACACCGATCAACATTGATGGGCGTATTGAACAAAAAGTGCAAATGGTTCATACATATGAAGACGAAGAAGAAAAAGAAAAAGAAAAGCGCCGTATAGAAACAGCTTCTAATAAATTTGTTCAATATTAAACTGTTCATAAATTGAATTAAAAACTGAATGACTATCGAGTGTATGTCTATTATTAATGTGTCAATTGTATTATTTATTTCCTCAGACTAGGTTATTTTATTTATTTATAAAAAAGAAAAAGGAAAGAGAACGAGACTAACATTGATAGTCGGCAGCCGTTAATAGTATGCTTGGTTCAATTGATTAAAGCACAATCATATAGTATTTCAGCTAGGATTAGTGTTTTTGTATAATAGTGACAGGAAATAATATGAGGAAGCGATGGAGGGCTCAATATGAGTCAGCCTTGGCATTAGCTGTTGAAACAAAAAAAAGAGATTTTATTCTGTCGCATCCAACAACGCCTATATGCTGCTGTTTTTCCCCTCTCTATCCATCTTTTAGATCCGTATAGATGCTGTGACACGAGAGACAGATAGATTTTTTGCTTTGTCTTTCTCTCAGTATCTCTCTTCATCTTTATTCGACTTTGCTATTTCTCTTCGGATACAATATTTATCGTTCTCATAGTCTCTCTGTCTGTCTCTATTTTCTTTCAACACTATCGTCACATAATTGCCATCACAAATAGTGCTGTAGAGAGAAAAATAGAGACCGACTAGCTTTATCGTATTTTTTATTGCATGCACGTACGTTCACACGTATCTCTTGTGGTTGTAATATTTCTGTAACGAACATCACGAACGAAGAGAATTAATGATAAAAAGATAGTTGCTACTTTATGTTATGAATGTGCATGTGTTACTTGTTCATCACTAGTTTTTCTTTCTTTTAGGCGAGCAACGCGCTTCGTATTATAGAAAGCAAAGCGGGATAGCTACCAAAGTTAACACTTCCTTTTTTCTCGCTCATCTCTGTTTCTTTTGATAAGACGTTCATCGTGCTCGTTTTTTTAAAAATTATATATATATATATACTTATTAATTATTTGTATTTAAGCAAAAATCTTCCAGCCGTTGTTGCTACGTTAATCTTTTTTTCGCACTTCTTTCTTTTTCTTGATAAGTGTAAAAATAGAGAATAACAAGCACAATTATAGAACAATCAAAAAAAAAGAAGAAAAGCATTAGCACATATTGTTTCTGAGCCGCATAAAAGTGCAGCAATACTATTGTGTCTTGTAATGTTATTGTAGTTGATTCATGCGTTCTCATATATATATATATATATATATATATATATCGATTTACTTCAGTAAGGTAATGATAGGCAGCATGCAAGCATCGTAAACATATAAATAATAGATAACATGATTGATTTCGAATGTTAGGCTTTCTTTTTGCTTTACTCTAGTAACAAAGAATACATGATACTATTGCTATACTTTTTCTTTATAGTTTACTGTACATGTACAGCATACATATTGCTTTGTATTGGGCCAAGTCATTTCCTGCTATCTAATATAGAAAAAAATTAATTTCTAATTCTCTCTCGTGTACTTGCATATATCATTCCATGCAATATTGTATCCCATGAGACTAAACCTGAAGGGACAGAGAAAAACGAGAGAAAAAGGATAGTGAAAGAGAAGAGAAAACTCAATCAACGAAGGAAACTGAAACTTTCTAGCCATGTTACATTTGTTATTTTCCAAGAAGCAAATAGAAAGTGTATGAAGAGTAGTGAGTAAGCTGAAAAGAATATGTCATCTTCTTCTTCTACGGCTGTCAAACGGCGATGACGACAGCAGCATGTGCAAGTAGAGTTAAGAATAAAGAGATCCATGTGCAAAACACATTCGTTTAATATTCGTCGAGTATCAGTTTAACCATAAACATAAGTAAAATAGAAGTCGATACTATGTTTCTTCTCTGATGACATATATTTATATACATATGTATATACTAATTGTGCAGTAACATGAAAACGTGTGTAATTTTCTGTTGCCTATCTATCGTTTTGTATATCTCATTCATCATCACTCAACCGAACTTTTTGTCTTTCTTGTAGACAAATAATATAGAAAGATAGAATGGCAGCTGCAGCCACGTCGGCTGGTGCTGCCATTTCATCAATGATAACATTGATGAGAAAGCAAAGTTTCCGTAGCGATTTTGTACCATTAATGGACTATAGTCAAGATGATACATCGAGTGAAAATCTCGAATGGATGAATAAACCAGTGGTGAAATATGTATTTCGTCTTACTGGCCTATTAAGTTTTATTTCAACATGTTTGAATACACCCAAAACATTTGAATATCATCCATTTCTTCAATATACCACCTTTATCATTGATATTTTCTGTGCAATCATATTAACTGTTGAAGCAGTAGCAAAAATGAAAACCGGCGGATTATTAGTCGGCGATTCAGCTTATCTACGTGATCGATGGAATCATTTTGATGCTGTTATGGTTTTATGTATTTATTTTTCTATTGTATTACAGGTAATTGTTTTGCTAGATTTCTCAATCCTTTAATTTTCCTGTCTAATACGATTTCTATGATAGGCTTTAGAATTAATTTATGTAGTTAACAAATATACATATTTTACAATAATTCGTGCACCACGTCCTTTTATACTCATTAAAGTACTTAAAACATTTCTTAAATTTGAATTACCTAAAAGCCAGATAAAATCTATTCTTCAGTATGTTCATAAAAACTACGTGATTTGTTATTTTTCTCATTCTATACATGCTATTTCGTTTTCTATTTGTACAGACGTTCAAGTTCTCAAATATATAATGTAACCATGTTTTTCTTATTCTTTATGAGTCTATATGCCATTTTGGGTGTACAATTCTTTGGGGCACTCACATTCCATTGTGTAAGAAACGGTACTGATTTAAAGTAAGAAATAAATATTTTCTTTGATTTTTGAAAAAAGAATCTGTTTTTTAAAAGTAACGTTACAAAGTCAGATTTAATGATACCCGATACATATTGTTCACCAACTAAAGATGGTTTTACTTGTCCGGACAATTTTATGTGTAAAAAAATTGATATTCCACGTAATCTACGTGGTTATAATGGTTTCGATGAATTGGCAACTAGTTTCTTTTCGGTTTATGAATCTGCTAGTCAAGAAGGTTGGGTATTTCTCATGTATCGCGCTATTGATAGTCTACCATCATGGCGTGCTTTTTTCTATTTTATTACAATGATTTTCTTTCTTGCTTGGCTTGTCAAAGTAAGCAAACAGCTTTTGCTTTTTTTCTGCTCAACAAAATCTGAATAAAACATTTTATTTCAGAATGTATTTATTGCCGTTATTATCGAAACGTTCGCTGAAATTCGTGTTCAATTTCAACAAATGTGGGGTTCACGTGGCGCACCTTCAGATGTTGAAGCAACAAAAGTAACATCTCACTTATTCCCAATTTAAATTAACACTACATACATATACATATTTATTTAGATACTCGAAAAAGCTGAAGACAGTACTTTAAAATTAGTTAATATTGATGAAAATAAAAAGAATGGTGTCGTACCTGCTCTTTGCCTAAAAATTGCTCAATCACCATTATTTACAACAATTGTTATGGTCGTTGTACTTGCGAATACAATTTTTACTGCGACTATTAAACATACACATAATGAAAGTACTGATCGACGAAATCGACATATCTATCATAGAGTTGAAGTAAACGATAGAAATAAATTGAAAAATAATCATGTTTTATTTTAGACCCTATTTACTATATTTTTTGATTTGGAAACACTTTTTAAAATGTTTTCACTTGGTTTTAAAAATTATATTCGAAGATCAATATTTAAATTTGAATTTATGCTTGCTGTTGGAACAACAATACATTGTATACCGCTATTTTATCGAAGTGCATTTACGTATTTTCAAGTACTGCGTGTTGCTCGTCTACTTAAATCAAGTCCGTTGCTCGAAGATTTTCTCAACAAAGTATATATTTTTCGAGCAATAAATATACTAGCTGTCAAACGCATTTGATCAGGGTTTATTTTCAATATTGTTTAGATTAATAATTTTCCAACGATAGAGTCTTATTGGATTTTTTTGCGTTTTAAGAGTAGAATTCTTTTTGAATAATATTACACGAACAGACCAAACTCCAAGTTAAACATTCTTATAAAAAATAAAATTCACCATTTCGATTCTTTCTTAATGGTTACAATAATTGAAATTAAACCTGATTGAATGATTCTGAAAATTCTACTATGGATAATAATTATTATGTATGCTTTTTTTTCTTATTTAATATAGATTTTTGGTCCGGGTAAAAAACTTGGCAGTTTAATTTTATTCACTATGTGTTTACTATTAATAACATCATCGATTAGTATGCAATTATTTTGTTTCATAAAAAATTTAAAGCAATTTGAAACATTCCCTCGAGTAAGTCAATAGATTCAGTATTGTTTATCGATAAAGAAAATATTCTCAGGCGTACATGTCTATGTTCCGTATCGCTATGAATGATGGTTGGACAGAAGTGATGTATATTACAATGGATGAAGTCTATGATTTTGGAGTTTTCTTTTTGTGTCTAACAGCGCTATTCTTCATATTTTTTCATTTACTAACTAATTCTGTAAGTTGCCGGTTTTTGTTTTTGAGCGTGACCGATTGAAGCATGACTATATGAATGAAATTACTGATTGCGATACGCACTGTTTTCTCCCTCATGATAAATTCATATGAATGATGATAAAAAGAAAAATCACTTCTTCCTTGTACAGGCATTTATATCAATGTTTCAAGTTTTGACACAAAAAGGATGGGTTGATGTTATGCATTACACAATGTTATATAGCATCCAAGATGTAGCACCATTTGTTGCAATCTATTTTATTGTTTATCATCTTGCTATTAATTTGGTATGAATGCTATCGTTATTGTGTTCAATGAATTGTTGTTATCTGCATGTCTGTGTGTGTGTGTGTGTGTGTGTCGTTGTTTTGTTATGCTGATTCGTAGAAAGAAAACGATTTTTTTCTTATCAACAGATTGTACTTTCACTTTTCGTTGCCGTTATTTTGGACAATCTTGAACTTGAAGAAGATGTTAAAATGATTAAACAGGTATGAGAATGATTTTTGTCCTGCGTTTTGATAACGACTTTTAATGATGAATTATTCTAGTTGAAAACTCGTGAAGCCAGCGCTGAAACTCAACAGCAATTGCCATGGCGTTTACGTGTATTCGAACGCTTCCCTGATCACCCTCAAATGATTGAATTATCACGTTTACCACACGAGTTTTCCGTACCGAAAATTCGTGACAGTTTTATGCGTCAATTTCTTAATCAAGATGATATTTATACGATTCCACTTGAACTTTCAATGAATGTATATAGTAAGAGAAATGCCGTTCGAACATTGCATACTACTGAACATCGACCGACTGGTGAAAGTATGAAACGTACTGCTGTATCAAATATCATCAAGTAGGCTTTTATTTAGCAATCAATTTTTTGCTTCAAAGATATAAAATACGAATAATTATTAGGAACGTAAATAACCAACGTTTATTAAGTGGTGATGCGAGTCAAATACATTTGGCAAGTGTCGGCGATAATAAATTATCAATTTATGTCCAACAAAATAAAATACGCCTTCATCGAAAGTATGCATGAGTGTTTTTTTTTCTCTTCTTACGTTTGGTTCGGAAAAAATGAACTATTCAGCAGTCTTTCAAAATAACACAGTTGATTCTTTGTTCGTTTTACACTAAAATCGAATAATAGACGTTGATTGCTTAGATCAAATCAGGAAACAAATAGTGAGGCAATGTCACTTTCAATCAAACTTCTTTAGTCATGTTATCACTGTTTCGTTTAATCATAGAAGACTTCAATCAACTATTTTAGCTCTATTGAAATCTTTACACGAGTCAAAAATTCAATGATTCAGACGAATGCGCGAATATCGCTTTTAATTCAATAGGGAAGAATGTTTTCTTGTTCTTTTGGATAAGCAAATGATAATAGTATTACTTGTAGATGTGGAAAATAATTATTTTTTCATTTTTTTCTGAATAATTTCAATGATGATTATTTGCAGGCAATCTTGCAAAGGAATGATGCCGGGTTCGAACTTATTGATTAACAGTAATTGATATTTAATATGATTATAAATAAGACTGATAGACATTTGACTAGAAGTGGCACTTTCTCGATGCATTTTATTTCATCGGATCTTAACAAAATTAAGTGTCGTGTTTGATTTAATTAACAGAAAGAAAATTCGATCAAATATTAAATTAATCTCATTGTGCTCAAAGGCTATTGAGAAACTATTGAAAACTCTATTTGCTAAATAAAATGTTTGTTCTTTCAATAGAAATTCTATGCGTCGTTCTGGTTACAGACCAAAGCCAGTTCATACTATACGTGAAAATGGTGATATAAATGCATTGCAAGGTCGAATTCAGGATGATTATGATATTAAAGTATTTCAATATCGAAAACAACAAGCTGAATTAAAAAGGTAAACAATAACAATCGATAAAAACGAAAACACTGCAAAAAACAATTTTCGTTTAGAAATCAACAAGAAGAAGATCTTCGTGAAAATCATCCATATTTTGATACACCTCTATTTGCCGTATCGCGTGAAAGTAATTTTCGTAAATTTTGTCAACTCGTTGTTGAAGCTCGTTATAATGTAACTCCAAAAGATCGTCTCGGGCAAGATGCAAAAATAAATCGATATAAAGAAGGACAGTATGTTTATTGAAAATAAACTCGTATTTCTATTTTAATCGTCTATTTTTTTGTTCTTCTAGTAAATTCCTTGATTTAGTAACGTATCTTGAGTGGATTATGATTACTGTTACAATATTATCAGCAGCTAGTATGTCATTTGAAACACCTAGCAATCGTGTTATTGATCAACCGCTATTACAAGTAGATTTTTCATTATTTTTGTATTTCATAAACTATACCATTTGCTTTCTTTCTTATGTAGATAACTGAATATATTTTTGTTATTTTTATGAGTGTTGAGTTAACATTGAAGGTTTTTGCTAATGGACTATTTTTTACACCGAAAGCATTAATACGAGATTTCAGCGGTATACTTGATATGGGATTCTTTCTGATTAGCCTTATTTATCTTTGTTGGTTACCACGAAGTGTACCAGCGAATAGTGCTGCTCAATTTCTAATGCTGCTTCGATCAGCAAGACCATTACGTATTATTATTCTTGTGCCTGACATGCGAAAAGTTGTTTATGAAGTTTGTCGAGGGTTTAAAGAAATTTTACTGGTAAATATTTTTCCAATCAAATATTCTTTGCATTAGAAGAAACGAATCAATTTTAGGTATCGATCTTACTTGTTGTGTTAATGTTTATTTTTGCTATATATGGTGTTCAAATAATTGGTGGCCAATTAGCTCGATGTAATGATCGAACTTATTATAAACAACAAGTATGCAAGAGAAATATATACATATCGATTTTCATAGTGCTAAGTTCAAATATATATGTATAAATATTATAGGAATTATGTCGTGGCACCTTTTGGAGAGAACTTTATGTATCAAAAATGAATGTTAGCGGAGCTGATCCAGTTATGTTAGTACCAAGAGTATGGTAAGGAGTTTAAATGTTCAATAGAGTTTATTTTCGTTGTGAAATGTGCACGTATTTAGGGCGAATCCACATAATTTCAATTTTGATTATATCGGTAGTGCTATGTTAGCTCTTTTCGAAGTTTTGTCACTTGAAGGCTGGCTTGAAATTCGTGATATTATTATGGATCGTATGGGACCAGTAAGTTGTTCATAGAAAGTTCTATTTTTTTTTTATTATGAGTTCCGATGGAAAACATTTCTACTACAGGAACATGCTATTTTTGTGCATATTTTTGTATTTATTGGCACTTTGGTTGGTTTAACATTATTCGTTGGTGTTGTTATTGCAAATTATTCAGAAAATAAGGTAGGCTTTATCATTAACAAAGTAAATTTTCTTTTTCGTGAGTGTTCGAATCCATTGTGTTAAGGTTTTTATTTAGTTTTCTAAACAAAGTCATAGCCAAAATTAGTAAAATTTTCTCCATAGACAAGTTTATTTGTACCTAAAATCACTTGAAATGTAGTTTACACATAAAACTGGAACAAAAGAAAGTTGCCTTTTTCTCTAATAATTATTTTTATATTTATTTATAGGGGACCGCTCTGTTAACTGTTGATCAACGTCGTTGGATGGATTTGAAAGGTCGTATTAAACTTGCTCAACCATTACGTACACCACCTCGACCAGAAAACAATAAATTTCGTTCCTATGTATTTGATATAACACAAACTAAAGTGTTTAAAAAATCTTCTGCCGTGCTTGTGCTGCTCAATTGTGCATTACTTTATAAACCATGGAAACCAAAAGAGAAAATAACACAAATATCAGCGTTGATATCATCTGTATTTACATTTCTATTTCTTGTTGAAGCTAGTATGAAATGTATCGCACTTGGTGTCGTTGGTTATTGGCAATCACGTCGTAATCGTTTTGATTTATTAGTTACAATACTTGGAATCGCTTGGATTGTATTAAATATTATCTCTATGGGACAAAATGATCTTGTAAGAACTGATAAAACATAGTCAAATAATAATAGAAACTTTAAAATAAAATATTTTGTTTTTAGCAAGAATTCAGTAATACATTTGGATTTACTGTGATTATACTACGATTTTTTACTATCGCCGGAAAGCATGTACGTAGACAATGGGACAATTGTTTTTTGTTCTAGTTTATTTTTTATTATTATTTTTTTCTGTTTTATTAGGCAACACTTAAAATGCTTATGTTAACTATTATTGTATCTTTCTTTAAATCATTTTTTATTATTTTGGGCATGTTTCTACTTATGTTGGTATATGCATTTGCTGGTGTTATCCTTTTCGGTTGCGTTAAATTCGGTCCTGAACTTGGACGACATGCCAATTTTAAAACAGTTCCAAATGCGATTGTACTTCTAATGCGCATAGTTACTGGTGAAGATTGGAATAAAATCATGCACGATTGTATGGTTGTACCACCACGATGTACACGTGGGGGTTCCTATTGGGAAAGTGATTGTGGAAATTCAACAGCATCTATACTTTACTTCTGTTCGTTCTATATCATAATTACTTATATCGTATTGAATCTTCTTGTTGCTATTATTATGGAAAATTTTTCGTTGTTTTATTCAAATGAAGAAGATGCTTTACTTAGTTATACGGACATTCGTCATTTTCAAACTGTTTGGAATATGATTGATACGGGACGTAAAGGTCTCATACCAGCTCGACGTGTAAAATTTTTATTACGATTACTTCGAGTAAATTTATTTCTATTAAATAATCTCGTTATCTGAAGAGTCTTTTATTTCGTTTAGGGACGATTAGAAGTTGATGCAGAAAAACTTTATAAACATATGTGTTACGAAATTGAAAAGTTAAATAACGGTAGTGATGTTACATTTCATGATGTTCTTAAGTAAATAAAAATTCATAGGATTTTGTAGTTGCATTTCTACTTTGTCATTTTGCTTTTAGTATGCTAGCGTATCGTTCAGTTGATATTCGTAAATCATTACAATTTGAAGAATTACTTGCACGTGAAGAACTTGAATATTTAATTGAAGAAGAAGTAGCTAAATTAACCATTCGAAATTGGCTTAATAGATGTTTGAAACGTATTAAAGCTAAAGATCAAACAAATGTCATTAAGAGTTTACAGCGCAGTAATGAATTAGCATTTTTTCGTGAAGCACAACAAGCAATAACAACAAACGAAGCATTGAGGAAGACAGCAACAAATGATAGTTTAAGTGTTGAGGATCGACAACAACAGCAGCAGCAGCAGCAGCAACAACAACAACAACAACAGCAACAACAACAACAACAAACACAATCACAAAAAGAAATAGCCAAAAGAAAACTTGATCGAACAACAACTTTACCAACACCTTCATCAGAAATCAGTGTATGATATTGATATTTATATACGTTGATATTGGGTAATTATATTGAATATTCTTTTCTAGAATCCAAATTATCGATTACAACCAGGACTACGAGAAATTCCCAGCGAAATAAAAGGATCAAGACGACCAGCAACTCATCCACAATTACAACAAAATATTAGTTTGACTTTCAGTACTGATGAATCTTATTCATGGCGTTCTTGGGAAGAAGCTCATCATTCAAATGGACGAAAAGATATTGAATCATGGTGGACCAATCAATTGGATACGTCAACTTAGTTAAATAAAATATTGAGCTTGAATAGATGATTTTTTGTTTCTCAAAAAATAGGAATATGCTGCCTATATTAATTATTTTCTGTCTCATGTACTCTCATGAATTTGAAAGTATTCAATATTTTCCTATTATGCACGTATATATTTTTCTAAATCAAAAATAATATATATATATATATAATAGACTATAATAGTTTCTTAGCTGATGATGATGATGATCAAAACTAAAAGACCCACAAGAGATTTATTTATGTCGGAATCGTGTTTTTACAATTTTTGATTAAAAAGAAAAATGTTCAATGAATAAATATTCTAATTGAATCGTCACGTCGGAAATCATTTTATAACCAGTCAATACTAGCTGTGATTATTTGCGATGATGCTCATAGTTAGCAAACAATATTCGTGTACAAATAACAACTTTCTAATTTTGTCACGAAGATAATTTCGTTTTAATTAAAACAAGGATCTTTTGTGTACAGCGGAAGTACGCATTCATTCTCATAAAGAATGGCAAGCACGTCTAATCGAGACACGTGCATGATCTTTGATTTCCTTGTCTTGAAGTACGCATTGAGATTCACTCAATGGACTATAAATATGGACTTAAATTGCTTTGCATGAATGAGCTCACATGTTGACTAATGAAAGAAACCTGCGTTTTTTTTTTGTTTGAATTACACGTAGAAAAATGAAAACTTTCTAACTCAGTGGTAGTTAGCATTGCTTTTATGATAGTAATGTCACTATTTACTTCAAGTATTCGTAAGAGAAATCATCTCTAAATGAACTCGTATCGGACGACAAAGCAAACCGTTTCTTCAATTGAAGACACGTGAGCATATTTCATTTCTTTTATAGTAGCGCTAGCCGGTAAAATGTTGTTCGATTTACCATCATTAACTAGTTCATTATGACAAACCAAATAGTTTTTGAAAATTTTCCTTTTTCCTTCGATAGCACACACATTTTTATGTTTATGATATCATAAATTGTAACAAAACAAGTCAAATATATCTTTACGATTAACAGTTCAATAGCAATTATAAGCGCGTCAATGTTATTTTCAACTATACATCTAACGGTTTAGAGATGGTAGATAGATACAATCGTTAGACCAATGGCTTGGAAGCTATGAAAACTTTATATCAGTATGATTTTATTCTCGAAATAGTACTTCTATTTCGTTCTACATAATTACAATTCGCATGAATTTGAATCGAATTATCATGAGCATATGTCAAAATATAAAATCGATTAGTGATGCTAATGAATTAAATCAAAATTGATGAATCCAAGGAACAAAAACTTAATTGATGTTCAAATTTCAATATTACAATTGGCACTCTACATCAAAGTATGCTCATATTTGTTCCGCTTGGTTTAGTCAGATCTTTGCCAATCGTATTTAACTCAGAGCTTCTTTTTTTTCGTACAAAAGCAAAATCTATTTTTTTGTCAAGTTTTACATTGATTAATAATCAGCTGAGAGAAAACATATATAGATTTATTACTTTCAGAAATAAAACAAAAAATGATTTACACAACAATATGCGAATTCACGTGAAGAACATATTTAGAATAAGATATTTTTCGTTCCTAATATACTCCCGTGACATTGACTAATGAGATTTTGCCAACGTAAGAAAAGCATAAGATATATCCACATTAACTTGTTTATCTATTATGAATATTTTTTATGATTGCAAAAGAAACACAATAAAATTTAGTTTTCAAAAATTTATTTTATCTGGTCCAATGTAGTTTTATGGATTAATTCTGTTCTAATTTCTTCATCTTTACGACTCATTGCGAGTCGTCGTCTATAAGGTACCCACAGTGTGCATAAAAGAATTAATATTTGATAGAGAAAAAACGATGAACAAAATATGAAAAATGCATAACGATCCAAACGACAAAGAGAATATTCTGGATAGAGTGAAAGATTAATTGCGTGTGGCGTAAGTGATGGTTGAGATGAAGCTAAATATATTTGAGTGTAATAAAAATAACTGATTACACCATGAAAGACATTTATAATGCACAACGCAACAATTGACGATATTGCATAAACTAAAATAGTTAAAAAAAGAAAAATCTATAGGCGTACTAACATTTATTTTTATTACCATCCAATGCTGTTAGATATGATATTGGCCTTAAAGAAGAAGAAAATAATAAAATAATCTTATGAGTTCACTGATTACACTTACGGAAGTGATTTATTAACAACCCAACGAAATGTCACAGATGTTAATAGAAGAGTACATGTTATTTGTAGACGTCCTTGAGTATTCGATGGTGGAATTGCAAATGTACAAAGAGCTGCCGATGTAATTAGAAAAATTAAAAAGTATGCATTCCTATTTTGTATAAATACAACAAAAATAAGTTTTCTTATACTAATAAATAAAATAAGAATTCATTTACCATATGTAGTAACCACATTTTCGCCCAACATGACATGTACAAACAACAACAGGATGTACTTGGTTTTGATTCAAAGAATATTCTTCGCAATGTTGTTCATATGTAAATTCAACATGTTCATACAAATGCCATGATTGTTCATCACTAAATACAATCCGATTAACACCGGATAATTTTTCTTTATTTTGTATAAAATATATATCGTGTGTTGTTAATGGTGTGGTTATTGATAGAGATAGTTCTTGTACATCGTATGGAAAATGATTTAATTCCATGCGTTCCCAGAAAACGCCACGGATTTTATGATGTTCGGTTATTTCAACAATATCATCTGCAGTGATTTTAGTGATTGAATGCCATTTCTAAAAAGAAAAAGGAAGGCTTTTGGTGTTTCGTTTTAATTTATAGTTCTCTCACTTCATGTTTTAAAGAATCTCCAAGATGATTCAAGACAACTAATTGAGGATTGAAATGGCCGTGAGGATCATATTCTGTTCCAATTTTTTGACTTTCATCATACCATGAAGCCTCGAAAAACAATTCAGCTGTATATCGTTCGTTCAGTGTATCGATTTCGCCGACACGTGAAAAAATACATTGAACACGAATTTCAATAGGTTGTTTTTTTATTGAGTGATTTTCCAATGTTACTTCTTTTGTTTTTGCTAAAATAGCGCATTCATTAGGGAATTTATTTGTAGGAAAATGTACACTGTCGCTGCGTGTACGAGCTCTCTGTATTGAAGCTCGACTTGAATAAATATTATCTATACGATGTAGACTAGTGTTATGTATGAGATTTCTAGATGTTGACGATGGTATCTGTGTATTAGAAGGAAGAGGGGGAAGAGAAGGAATATCCATAGTTGAAACTTGTGGTGTACAAAATTCTGGAAAACATGGATTTGATGTTAATGTTGCTAGCGTTGGCGTTGGAGTTGTATATGGCGTTTCTTGGGAAGATGTTGTTTGTAGTGATTGAGTCGATGATGCTCGACATGCAGTTGACGACATACTTTCAATAGAATGTACTAAATGATCCGTTGACACCGTCTGACTGAGTGAATGAGCTTGATAATAACCGGCGTCAACTAAATTTTATCGGGAAAACAAACACAAACGAATAATTTCAATATTCATAAATATGTGTATCAACTTACGCAACAAATTACTGTTTGGATTCAATGCCATTATGAAATATGTCAGTAATTACTAATAGTGACTATAAAAAAAAAAGATTGTCTCATGAAGAAAATCGGTTAAGGTAATATTGTCAGCAATCTTTCGCTTAGCACGTCGCTGACTCCCTGATGTCCTGACTCTATTACGATACCAAGACAACCCAGGGTTATACATTTAGTTTTTCTGTAGCAATGGTCTTTCCTTTAGCTTTCTAATTGTCAAGACAACAGAAAAAGAATTTTTATTCACGTAATATGCTCACCTATTTATTAAAATCGTTTATCTCTCAACTGTATTATATCGAAATAAGATACGATAGATTTGCAATTCTACGACGTAACTTAAGGAATATCATTTTGAAATATTATCTATTCGAAATACATTTATTTGTCCATCAAGAATATCAATTTCTTTTTATTGGCATGTACGAATGATAACGATTCTTTATACATGTATATTTGGAAGATGTTTTCAAATCGCCCTGATTTGTTTATACAGATATTGTGTAGCTTATGACTATTTATAGTATCAATAAGGCGATTCTATGCTTATTCACTAGTGAAAGAAATAACAGCAATATGTAGCATATCGTGTAAATGTTCTTAACAGGATTCTGTCAAGATGTTCCCAGTACGTCACAATGGTAATACTCGATAATAACAATACCATCAGAATATGAAAACAAAGAGATCTAACCGCTATGTTTCTTATGATTCTTTTATCGGTAGTCTTGTCTTTCATCTGGTTCTTGATTTTAGTTATTTACTTACGTCGACAAATACGAATTTGCCAATATACCAACATTTTTTATGCAAATGATTAAGTTTCTCTACTCGTCTCATATTAGAATACTTCTGAAAACTTTTGTGTGATTTGAATAGAAGATAGTTTCTTGCTAAGGTCTATATCGAATGGTTATCGCGTACCGATGAACAACGGTAGAAATTCGGAGAGTACAGTTAAAAGATATACTTTTCGACACGAACTAAGCTATAAATATATATCTGTTTATTCTTATTACATTGCTTTTTAGACAATAGTCTATTTTCTTTCTTAGCTAATTTTTCCTTCTCGATTTGCTTCGTTTCCTCATCGCTATTATAATTATGATTGGCTTGAAAACTATGTATGCAAGATCAAATGTCAAGAAAAATCTGTTCTGTGTTAAACGAAACACACACATTTTCTGTGTCTCCGTATTTCCCAGCGTGTGATCGCTATTTATGAAATTGCTAAATAGTGTGGAATACAATCACTTACGTCTTTCATGATTATTTTAGAAATCCAGTGAAATAAAAATACTTGTATTTTGTTGGCGAAAACAACATCTTCATTGCTGACCAAAGCATTTATCCTTACTATCTGCCTTTTCGAATTTTTCGTAAAAACTCATATTTTCACAAAGTAGAAAACTCAGTAATAATTAGCTATTGAAAGATCAGTCTTTTATGCACATTGTCTGTCTATGAAAATTGGACGATTGAAAGCTAGCCAACAAACTTCATACTAAATCGGGAATCAGTTGTTTTCGGTGAAGACTCGATTTGCCTTTTAGTAATCTTCATGCCATTATGGATATGTATTGCCTTTCTGCTATATCTGAGTGTCGTGAAAAGTTTAGGGTATTTATTTTTACCATTAAACATGTCAGAACAGCATATTCATAATAACCGTTATATCAGTAGTTCCTTGAAAATTTCTTGAATAATATTTTTATTATAGTATACACCCGCAATGGCGTAGTACCACATATATTTTAGAAATTTTCCTAGAATGAAATTAATCTCAATCAAATACAAGCAATATTATCCTTTACTCTTTCTAATTGAAAATGCATTTATCAATCCTTGAGGAATCATCAGTCGATATTATTAATTGTGTTCTATCATTTTAATCTCTTGCTATACGAAATTCTCAAAATGCTTCAATACTTTACATGTAGCAACTATTTGATGAGAGTCATTGTCCACTTTGCCATATATACTAACATAAATTGCAGAACAAATCATTTTTGTTCAACGATAAAAACGAACAGATTGAATGTTTTAAAATTTAAACATAACATTGATCAGATAAAGAGCGAGAGTGATTCGAAATTCGAATTTGATTGAAAACTTCAACTTTCTATTTCCGCAATAAAAAAAAAGACACTCCAATAATAGTGTCTTATAATGAGTTGTGACTATACACTAATGAAGTATTCAGTACACAGGAAAATCAACTGCCTGGATTTTAATGTAACTTAAAGTAGTTCTGAAGTAATGACTGCTTTTTAGAGATAAAAAAAAAGGTTTCACATTGCCTTTCAGTTTGATTTTTATTTCTAGATTAGAACACAAACCTCTACATATCTATATCGCTAAAGAATATAAGGACTGTACCAAAAAAGAAAGAAAAGCACTAATTCTATGTAATTTGTCTTATTTCATGGAATCATTGTTAATTGCACATTTCTAAAAACTTGAAGTACAATGCTGGAATTTTTATCTAAATAATCGAACACCGTTTGTTTTGATACACATGCAGATATTCATCGCGAAAACTCGACACCAATTCTATCATGTGAAAACGGCAAATGCTGCCCTCTATGTAAAGAATATTGTTCGCTTCAAATTGTGTTTAAAGCGAATCAAAACTTTCACTGTTGATTGTTTGTTTATTTATTCATCTTCATCGTGTCGTCTCATTTTATTTCAATTGTTTGACCAATTTGTAGGATATTACAAGAAACTCTGTTTTGATTAGCTGGATATTTGTCATCCATAAAATCAAAGTCGAAAATGAAACAATGCAAAAACTTACATATTGATTTGATTTTTATGACAAATATGTATGCCAAACGATGACTAGAAGAAATACTGAGCCAAAACAATCACGACAAAAGCACTTAAGTAATGTTTCTCTATGTTTGTAAATCGAAACAAAAAACATCAATTTCATTTTTTGCTTCTTATCAATTATCACCCTCTTGTACACATACTTATTGAATAGGCAATAAAACGAGCTTTAGTCTTAGTTGTCTTTTAAATTCTTTTTGATACATATATCATGACTTTATAGGAAGTGTTCTAGGTGAGTACATTTTTTTACTTGATTGTTATGTTTTTTTATTATAAACACTTGACTAAATTATCTTTTCATGTTTTTTTTTAGGTTATTGGTTGTCAATCATGGAAATGTCGAAATGATTGAATATGCCTTTTCTTTGTTAGTTTTTCTTTCTTGAAATTCGTTCTCACTTTTTTTCTATTTTTCATCAAACAGGCATCGAACAGATAATTTCATTCTAATATTGTTTAGATTTCGTGTTGTAATACAACACGATGGGTCGATCGCGTAGTCCTTCGAGCAAAAAACATAAACGACGTAAATCATCACGTGACCGTAATAGATCAAAAGATCGTTCGATCACTAGTTCGTCAAAGCGACATAGATCACGTTCACATGATCGGGAAAAAGAAAAAAAACCTAAACGGTAATAGTTAATATATATTCCTATAGTAGATAATTCTGATTATTCTTCATGTTATATTTAGAGTTAACCGTCGTTCGACAAGTCAATCATCTAATGACGATCACGAAGATACATTATCAGCAATGAATATTAGTCGAAAAGCTACAATAAGCGAATTAAATGATTTAGCATCTCGTAAAAAAGCTGAAATCGACCGACTTACCGAATTAGAACGAGAACGCATACAATTATTGTAAATATAAATCAAGATTCTATTGTATGTTCAATTGAATTTATTTATTTTTCAATAGACGTCAAAAAGAAACGCGTGAAAATTTAATTCAAGCCGAAGTCGATCGACGTGTCAAAGATATTGTTGAGATACGTGTGCGAGAAGAATTGGAACGGCGTAAAGATGAAATTGAAAATGAAGTTAAACGACGTGTTGATGTATTAAAACGAACAATGGAAAAACAAATGTTACTTGAAATCGAAAAACGCAATCATGATGAAATAAGAAAACTTGTAGCAAAAGAAGTTAGAATTAATTATTCGCCCTGAGGAATTTTTATTGATAATTTTAAAATTCATTTTATAGGAAGAAGAAAGAAAAAAACGTGAAGAATTAGAAAGAACTCTAGCGGAAAATGAACGTAAATTAATCGAAGCGAAAAAAAGACTTGTAATTTATTATGATAAAATTGAAAGTTTGAAAATTTTTTTCTTGAAATTTTTTTTAGGCTGATGAAGAAGAAAAATTACGTACTGAACAATTACGTTTAATGGAAGATAGAGAACGATTTGAACGACAACTAGGCAAACAACATGCTAAAGAACAAAATCTTATTTTAGGCAAAAATAAAACGCGACAAAAAATTTCTTTCACATTAAATACTGTTCAGTAAATTATTCATCTATTGTTTTGATTTACATATATAAATATAATTATCTATTCTTTTGTTTTTGTGTATTAAATAAAATGTTTTTCAAACTTAGTGTTTGTTTTTTCTCCTGGGATTTCAGATAAATATATAGTTTATTTTCAAGCAAATCAAATACAATCATGTCAAATACTGAAAATATTCCTGTCGATAGTCTAGTTAATGGCGATAAAAAAGATGTCGAAGAACCTGAAACACCGATTGAAACAATTGTTATTGAACCAGATTCAACTATTGTTGAATTAACAGCATGTCGCCTTCGAGCAATTGAAGGACTTGATGGTTTAACAAAAATTGAAACGTTAAATATGCGTCAAAATTTAATAAATAAAATTGAAAACGTTTCACAATTGACAACACTTCAGTACATCGATTTATATGATAATCATATCGAGCGAATCGAAGGTTTAAATACATTGACTCAATTGAAACACGTCGATCTATCATTTAGTAGGATAGAAAAAAAAAATCTTTTCGACAAATTTAAAATATTTTTATTTATAGATAGAATTTCCGTTATTGAAAATTTGTCTACATTAACAAATGTTGAATCTCTATTTATTGTTCATAATCAATTGCGAACCATTGAAAATCTTTCAACATTGATTAATTTACGTGTACTTGAATTAGGTGACAATCGAATTAAAGTAAAGTTTGTTTTGAAAAACAAATCGAAAATATTCATTTTTGTTTTTTCTAGAAAATCGAAAATTTAGAATCACTTGTTCAACTTGAAGAACTACATTTCGGTAAAAATAAAATTGAAAAAATCGAAAATTTACAAACTCTCACAAAACTACGCATTCTTGGCTTGGGCGCCAATCGACTTTCAAAGATTGAAGGGCTAGAAACATTGACGCAATTAAAAGAAATCTATCTATCAGAAAATCGTATACAAGTGATTGAAAATCTGGATAGAAATACGAATTTAAATGTTCTTGACTTATCGAAAAATCAAGTAGAACATCTTGATAATCTTCAATCTCTTCATCAGCTCAAAGAATTATGGTTCAATGATAATCAAATTAAAAATATCGATGAATTAAATAAACTTGAATCCATGCAATCACTACAATGTATTTATGTTCATGACAATCCAGCATTCGATCGTGAAGAAAACTATCGATCGAAAGTTTTATTGCAACTCAAACAATTGACGCAGTTGAATGCCACTGAAACACGACGAGCTGTGCCAATGATATTGGATTAATGAATTTTTTAAAGATTATCTTGTCTTTTTTCTCTTGTGTTGTATCAGTCTCTACTGCCGTTTAAAACGCTTGCTCCAACAACGAACTCTAAGAATGTAACGATATCAAAATTAAACACAATGATTATTGTGCATCATTCATTTTCAAGCATTTTTTCCCATTATTATGACGATCACTTGTAACCAACTGTTGCCCGTTCTTCATTGTACTAAATGCGTATTTCTTTATTATTTTCGTGAAAATTTATTAAGTCACACCCTCTTTACTGCTTTTTCTGTGTCCTGTTGGCGCCAAAATTATGAAATAAATATCTGTGTTCTTTTTAGAATGATCTTATTTTGTCGTCGGCGATTTTGTATTGACATTACTAAATAAACTTTGATTTTATATTTTTTCTCTTTGCGTTTATCATGGGCACTTTGTATGAGGTTTGTTAACTATCTCAGTAAAAATAAAAAAAAATAGGAACTCGTTCGTTAAACATGATTCTTTTTTCTTCATTAGGCTAATAATGTGTCGACCAATGAAGACAATATTTATACTCGGTCACCAAAAGTCATTTCAAACGTGGTTTGTTTTTTCTTCAAATTTCACGAATTATGAATACATTTTATTGTTGTTTTTTTTCCTAGAAGGAAGATAATTCTACGAAAATATCGCTAATCTTTTCGCTCAATGAAGAAATTGGTGCTCTTGGTAAAGCACTACACATATTCGAAGTAAGATATCCCAATTTCGAGCGAACTTTTAAAAATTTTATTCTATGATTTAAATAATTCGTTTAGTTCTTTTCTTCATGAATCATTAGGTCAGGTTTGAATTATAAATAATAAAACAGGATGATGCTCTTTTTCTGACTAATAACTAATTCTACTAATTAAAAATAATAAATATAAACAAATCTAGCATTACTTACACTGATTAGCTTGCTAATGTAATAGACAATGATTGTTTGTTTCCTTCTATTCGATATTTTGTTTTTAAAGAAATTGTTTATTTTTACTATTGTATTTTAGAAACATGGTATCAATTTATTTCATATTGAATCGCGATTATCTCGTCAAAATAAAGATGACCATGAATTTTATGTTGTTTGCGATAATAGTATGGGTTCTGTAACTGATGCTATTAAAGAATTTCGTGAATCATCGAAATATATTCATGTACTTTCAGAAGCACATGAGACCATGCATGAATCAAGTTAGTTGATATACATTTATTGAATTCTATTTCTTTATACTCTTATATAGCACCTTGGTTTCCACGAAAAATGCGTGATCTTGATCAATTTGCTGGTCGCATTCTTTCCTATGGCTCCGACCTTGACGCTGATCATCCTGGTTTTCGTGATGTACTCTATCGAAAACGTCGAAAAGAATTTGCTGATATTGCTAATCAATATCGTCATGGTCAACCAATTCCACACGTTACTTATAACGAACAAGAAATTTCAACATGGGGTACTGTTTTCAATGAATTAACAAAACTTTATCCAACAAATGCATGTAAAGAGTTCAATAATATATTTCCATTACTTGTTGATAATTGTGGTTATAATGAATCAACTATTCCACAATTAGAAGATGTTTCAAGATTTCTTCAAGATTGTTCAGGTTTTCGACTTCGACCAGTTGCTGGTTTGTTAAAACTTTTTTTAATTTCTTTGTATTGTTTTCAAATATAGTTTTTTGCTCTATTCAGGTCTTTTATCATCACGGGATTTTCTTGCTGGGTTAGCGTTCCGTGTATTTCATTCCACGCAATACATTCGTCATCATAGTGTGCCTATGTATACACCTGAACCTGATGTTTGTCATGAATTACTTGGTCATGTGCCCCTTTTTGCTGATCCAGATTTCGCTGAATTCAGTCAAGAAATTGGCATGGCTAGTTTAGGTGCACCTGACGAATATATTACTCGCTTAGGTATGAACATAAGTTTCTTCTATTTGATATGATCTAAATACTTTTCGGAAGAAAATAGATTAGATTTTTGCATTTCTGACAAATACTGTTGATATACTATCTAAGACCATATATATATATATATATATCAGTCAGTAGCGTTTGGCTATAGTATATCAACTACTTATGTATTAAATTTCTGCAGGATTCATTAGAAGCAATATGTTTCATAAGCGGACACGATAGAGACGTTTTCTTACGTTTAGCAAAAGTAGCTTGAGAGTATTTTGTATTTAAGTCGTGCATATTGATTAGCGCTAACAATTCTGTTTACTCGATATTTTTTTATAGCGACTTTATATTGGTTTACTGTTGAATTTGGTCTATGTGTTGAAAATAATGAACCAAAAGCTTATGGAGCTGGACTTTTATCATCTTTTGGAGAATTACAAGTAAAATCTTCTTTTCTTTCCCATGCCAACAACACTTTTATATATTTTATTTTTCTCAAGTATTGCTTATCAGATGAACCAAAAGTTGTGCCATTCGATCCATTTGTTGCTTGTGTTCAGGCATTTCCAATAAGAAATTATCAACCAATGTATTACTTAGCTAACAGTTTCAAGGATGCTAAAGAAAAATTACGGTACGATTATTTTATTAAAGTCAAATTTTGAATTGTAGACCAATTAATTCTAGTCAATATGCAATGACAATTCCACGTCCGTATACGATTCATTATAATCCGTATACACAAAATATGGAAGTAGTTGATGGCAACGAACAGGTTGTCAACATGGTTCGAACATTAAGAAGTACGAGAATCACAATGAAACATATTCTTATGTATCTCTCATTGTTTTTTCTTTTCTCTTTCAAGACGATATGGATATTATTATTGATGCACTTCGCAAGGCACAAGTTAAACAAATCTAACTTTTATAATTCTATTTTGTTTTTTTTTGATAATCAATTTTTAATGTAAATTTATATATTTTCTTGGTGATAGATTATGTTTAAAGTTTGGAGATGGATTTAAATATTATTTTATTTCAGATTTTGTTTTTTTTTTATAAAAGAAAGCTAATTAGTGTGCATCATACTATCATTACATTTGGAACAATAAAACAATCGGTGTTTGTGAAGAATAAAATAAATTCAGATTTAATATAATTAGAAAATCTTCAGATAAAGACAGAAAGAAAAGAAAAATATTATTTTTCTGTCTATACGGATTTTATAGTATTTTTCTATGAAAATATTTTCTTTGATTTTCTTATTTTGATCGTATATAATTTCATTTGATTATTGTGTTATCATGAACAAAGTTACACGATTTTTTAATCCTGATGAAGAACAACCAAAGGAGCAAAATGCTATTATGTCTGAGGTGAGACAATAACAGATAGCTGATCAATGCATGATTTGTTTGCTTGGTTTTGTTCTTCTTTTTGCTAAATAATCAAGATGATTTTTTTCTATTTATTCTTTATGTAACGATTAGATGTTCTGAGAAAACTAACGATTGATTTTGTACACTATATATTTCAAATCATTTCTACCGATCTCGTGATTATGATATGTAGTCGTCAAATTATCGTATAGACTGAGAAATCAAACTACACATCATTCAACTGTTAGTTTTCGTTACGAACAACTCTTATAGTTAAATCTACTAGTGAGAAAATGTTCTCAGATTTTATAAAAGAATCAATAGATGTATGGCTTATATTAGTGTGCAGCATATTTCTTGATTCTCTTATACACAATTATTATGTTTCGTTTTTTTTATAGATATCCGGTTTGTCATGGGATACTCGTTTGAAAGGTTTTGGTATCTGTTTACTTATCGCCTTGATGCTTGGTATTGGTGTAAGTGATTGTTATTGCTCAGAAAATTTTAATTTTGTTGACCTATATGAGATGAGCAGCTGAAGTTTCGTTTTTATTTAGAAAATCGATGCTAGCATCCGTATTTTCACTATTGCAATGAGATACGATTCTTGTACATTATATTCTAACTATTGAGTGTGTTCCAGGCCTCGAAACGGGCCGGCCTGACCCGAGCAATTCTTTCCGTCGGGTCGGGCGGGCCTAGAAAAAGATGTTACCGGGCCGGGTCGGGCAAATATTTCAGTCGGACTGCCCGACAACGAGTTGAACGTTAATTTTTCAACAAAACATCAAAAGATGTCACATGTTATTCTGATATTAATTTTACTGAAACACTTATCATCAATGGATTTTCATAAATTTTTAGCGCTTTGAAGTCTAAACTAACCTTATATTTTATCGAATAAACTTTAACAACAAGAAGTTTTTTTGCACTTGTTAAATAAGTCGGGCCGGGCAGGGTGGGCCCTAAAAAAATGGCCCGACGGGCTGGGCGGGCCACTAGGACTCAAGGCCCGCTCTGGGTCGGGTCGGGCTATCAAAAAGTGACCCAATTTCGAGGTCTGGTGTGTTCTAACTACAACTGAGTCAGTGATGCGAGATAGTTAGAAAACTTCCCATTCGTATCTATGATAAACATAATTGTATGTAAAAAACGTTAAGATGATCTTTGGCTATTATGATCAAATAAAATTCATTTGTTACTCTCAAAAGACAACAGATTTTGATAGAAGGTTTTTTCACTGAATCATTCATGACGAAGATGTTTAATGCATTTTAGGCAGTGGTTATCTATTTTCTTGGCGGTAATCTTTCTGGCTTTGCTATTCTCTACAGTTGTGCAGTTATCTTCGGGCTTATATCGTAAGTTTATAGATAATAATTGTATCAATTTTCTTAATTTAATTATATATTTTAAGTACACTCTTTTTGATGGGTCCATTGAATCAACTTAAAAAAATGTTTGACTCTACTCGATGGATTGCAACAGTGGTCTTTCTTGTAAGTTAGATCGTGCTTTGTTTTTCCATAGTTTATGGAATATCTTATCTTCATTGATAGGCATCTGTTGTGATGACACTCGTGTCTGCTCTTGTTGTAAGTCTATTTGAATGTAGGATAATAATCATCATCAACGACGGTTTATACATATTTAGATCAAAATCGGTGTTCTTGTTCTTATATTTGTTATCGTTCAATTTCTCGCACTTGTAAGTGATATTTAGCAAAATAAAAACAATATTTCTAAGATGTATTGCTCGTTTCTAGGCTTGGTATACGATTAGTTATATTCCATTTGCACGGTAAATAAATAGATTTCTATTTGAGTTGAAGATAATATATTTTTCTTTTCTTATTTTTAGAGATGCTATCAAGAGTTGTTGCGGAGGCATTATGGGCGTATGAGCAATAAAACATACTTCTTTTTTTGTGCTAAAATATTTTTTTGCTTGTGAATATTTGATTGATGATTGTGAAAACTAAATGCTTATCTACTGTTCTTTCGGTTCAGTTCAGTTCGCCTAATATGAAATCTGTCCAAAACTTGAATGATTATTTTTTTCTTCACTTGTGATTATTCTTATTATTAAAACAGAAAACACGGAAATTAACATTCTATTCTAATTTACAAAAACAAAATTGACCTCTATTATTGTTGTTGATGTAATCATATTTTTATTTCTAGACTTTACTTAACTATTCAAAAGACATATAAATACTTGTTTTGATGAAAAATCGTTTGAACAGAAATGTCCTTTACTGGAATAAAAAAGAGTCAACTCATATCTCTACCATTTCTAAAAGTAAGCTATAATAATAGATTTCCAATGAATTATTATTATTTCGTTATAGAAACGATTACGATCGATTACTTCGTTGGGTCTTCGTAATCTAACAGTGCATGAATTTAATTTTACAGTTCACTTTACATTACATCGAAATGAAAAAACCGTTGGTAAATAAGAAAAATAGATGATCTGAGTATACTTAGATTTTCTTTTATATTTAAATAGCTTTTTATACAAGTGAACTGGCCGAAAATCAACGTGTAAGCTATACGACAGAGTTTCCGATTAAAAAAACAAGCAAGACTATATATTTTTTTATTGTAGAGCCCAGAATGGTCTTATTTAAAGTTTCCCTCAACCACTCAATGTTTGCAAGGTAAGATTATTTGATTGAGATCTATAAATAGACGATAACTTAATAGAAGAACACCTGATTTTCCGATCTCGATTTGTAGGAATTTCGCTCGATGTTTTTTCCGGGGAGCCGAAATTTGCTCAGTAGTTATAGAAGAAAAGACAAATGAAATATAGATAGTTCGACAAGTGTTGATGCAAAAATGCAATTCGATCTTTTAACATAATTTAGATTTTGTTATGCGTGTATGGATAACATCCGAGGAGAATAGTCGTTTATTTCTTGAATATGACGTTCATCTTGATGATTCGCTTATCCCTGATGAACAGGTAAGGTAAGATTTTATTTGAATGTATCATATTCGAATACATGTCCATCTGAATTATTTTCCTTTTTCTTTTACTATTTTTAAAAGAAAGATGATTCACAAAGAAGTAATAATACACTTTGGCTTGAAATGTTCGGTTATCAATTTACTGACAATGAAACTATGTTAGAAAATCAAAAAAATGTGCAATTAACCGATACAACATCAACAACAATAGATAAAAAGTCTAAACGTATTAGTTTAGTGAAATCATACAATAAATTGAGTATTTTGAGGTTTGTTAATAGATCCTTTTCCAATTGGATGCATTTAGTTTTATTTTAAACTTCCAGAATGATGAATGTTATTGATGCTGTACGTTCTGAAAATCGATCATCAACACAATATCTTGAACGATTGCAAGCATTTGTTGATGTACATCAAGATCATTTATCAAAAGTAGGGGAAGAAATTGTTTTTAAAAATCGTTTGTTTTCTAAATGTTTGTAAATAGATAAAAGAACGAGAATCCCGTCGTTTACGTGTTGAGAGTTTAAGACAACAGTTACAGTCGCAAATAATAGTATATGAACAGCGTTTTAATAGTTACCAAGAAAGACAAAAACTATTAGAAGAAAGAAGTAAATTGTTGATTTATGTCAAGGCGGACATAAGTATTATTGTTTCGTTTTCTTTTAAGAAAATCAATTACAACACAATTTGTACCAATTAATTCATCAACATGAACAAATTAATTTCTACATAAATCATTTAAATCAATCTAAGTATGAGAAATATTTTAAAGATTTATTAATTCTTGCTGACTTTTATCTATTTATTTTTTGTCTAAAAGATGTATTCTTCATGATTTAACACAAGTGATTAATTTCCGACAAAAAGATATTGTTCATGAAATATATCACTATATTTATCCTATTATTGTTGATGATAGCGGTGAATATTCCATTGCCAACGTCAAATTACCACAAGCGGAAGATAAAACTTATCAAACATCCATGAGTTAGTTGCTCTTTTTTTCCTGAGTAGAATATCTTATCTGAAAGATTTCTCAATAATTTAAGCTCGTGAACGTGAAAAGGAAGTTGAAGCTGCCATAGGATATTGCGCACATTTTGTTTTTATCATTTCACAATTCATGCAAATACCACTTCGATTTCCCATCGAATTTTATGGTACATCACCTATTAAAATCTATGATTATTCATTGCAATCTGGCGAGTAAGTCTAGTGGAATTTCTTCGACGGCTTAGAATAAATGAAAATGATATTTTTTTCTTTCGAAAAAGACTTTATCTAATAATATTTGTTTTTTGAATTCTAATGGGCTTTAGCCTTGTTAAGATTTAAAAGTAGAGTTTTCATGATTATGTCTATTTTCTTTGATAGATTCGCTTTATATCCCAGTTATGATATGAATAGTTTTCAATATGGCCTCTATTTACTAAATCGAGATATTGGTCAAGTACGTTATTTCTCGCAAAAGCAAAGTAGTGTATACAATAAGCAAAACTCGTTTGATTTTCTAGCTAATGTATCATTGTCGCGTCGGTACTCGTCCAACAGATTATCGGAAAACATTAAAAAATTTAAAAGACTTATTAGAACAATATTTTACAATTACAAATAATAATAATAATAATAATAATCAGTAAGTACTTAGTAAAGAGCTTGAAAATTTTTATTCCATTCAATCCATTAATGAATACAGCCGTCGAAACGATACAATGGTCTTTGTAAGTTTATCTGACTGTCGTGAAAACAGAAGATTCATTGTCTTCTTTTTCATGTTTTCTATTTGTGTAACACTCATCGCTGATGACTGAAAAAATAAATACACTAATTCTGTGTTTATTTCACTTCTTTTTTGTATTAATATTAGTTTTGTGTTTCTATTCTATTTAGAATTCACCTATACTCTCAAAGCAGCCAGTCGTCAACCCAGACGATAGTCCCAACTAGTTTGTGCATTAATGAACAACGATTGATACGACATAAACAAAATTCCAGCAATAACTCTTTACTTTCTTTATCAGCTTCAACAGCATCATCCCTTATTGAAACTCTTGATTTAGATCAGAATGGCGATGATAGTGATGATATAGATTTATTTCCAACATTAAATCGCATATCTCCTCGATTGAGGATGCAATTTTCACAACAATAATAAAAAAAGACTAGAGTATTTTGAAAAATAAAAATCATTCCATAGTTTTGTGATATTATACATATTTATATTGATATATATATATATATATATATATACGTATAAATTGAATTTATTCCTTATGAGAAAACGATCCTGTGATTACATTCTTGTACGTTTTGCTGTTGTTGTGTTTTCTCGATATTTTCATATTATTTATGTTACGAATCGAACTTTCGCGGATAGAGAAATATATAAATATATATATATATAAAGTTAATGTAATTCTTTCATAAACATTTCTTTAAGATTTTTTGACGAAAACAAAAATGAGTCTTGATGCGCAAAAAATTGATAGTAGCCAACGTCAACAAATAATGGCGACGGTACAACAGCAATTAGCTATTCAACATGCTCAAGAACTTCTTCAAGTAATAGAATTAAAAACTAACCTTTTATTTCATAATATATATTTTAAAATTTAAGAAATTATCTGATAAATGTTTCAAAGCTTGTGTTCAAAAACCTGGCAGTACTCTATCTAGTTCCGAACAGGTCTTTTTCTTTCTTTTCAACTAGTTTTATTTTTATTATTTTAATTATAGAAATGCATTAGTCAATGTTCTGACCGATATATGGAAGCATGGAATGTTGTTTCGCGATCATATGCCGATCGAATTAAACGTGAACAAAATCGGCATTAACTTTTCGCTCGTCTTCTAGCAGAATTTCACAACCATCACCATCATTCTTTGTTTTTTCTTTCTTTTTGTATTCGTGTTTTCATTTATTTTGAAAGAAGAATACAAATAGTAGAACGTTTGAACGTCCATAGGATCCTGTTTTTTTTTGTTGATTTTAGATGGCAGCTTCATCTTCTGCTGGAAATGGTAATGGCTATCCAAAACGCACTCGTCGCAGCGAGCCTACTATTATCCAAGTAAAAGAAGAAGTGATTGAAATGGCGAGTAATAATGGTCCATTTCAATCACCTTACGAGCAATTAATTCAACACGAAGCTGTTCCACCACCTGCTGTTGTTCCACCGAAAAAACCTAAAGAACAAAAATGCCGTTGGGATCGTTGCACACATACAGGCGATATTAATGGATCTTTGTTTGAACATCTTCTTGAACATGTTAATGCTCAAAAGAGTAGCAAAAAAGAACAAATGTGTCTATGGGTTGGATGTCGAGTATATAAAGTGGCGTCCAGAAGTGTAAATTATTTAGAAAAACATATTCATAAACATACGAATGAAAAACCATTTCGCTGTGTGTTTGACACTTGTGCAGAACAATTTACAACGCAATTTGCACTTGAACGACATGTCCAAACACATTTACGCCAACAAGATGCTTCAATGCTCTTTGATACTAGTGGCGAAACATCCATGATTGGAACAGCAGATTTCGATGTTTTAAATGGCGATGAAAGTCATCGATCTTTTTTACGTGGTGGAATTGTGAATGGTACATATCAAAATATGCTTCTTCAGCAAGTTCAGCATCAATCAAACGAGAAAAAAGTCAATCGAAAACGTCGAGCAAAAATCAATGGAGTACCTGTTGCTTATGGTAATTAAAAGAATTCCTCTTATTAAATATTTATTTATTATTGATTCCAGCTGCAAATCGAGATTGTTTTACAGAGAGCGAAATTTTTCATTTGACACGTCTCTTCGACATGTGTCCCTATTTTTCCACCGATAAATCTGGTACAGTCGTTGTTTTACAACCAAAAGTAAGTGTTGTTTTCTTTTGGGGAAAAAGCTATATTCTAATTGAATTGCTTATCTATGATTGATTTGAAGATTACTATGAAACGACTTATTGGTGATCGAACTGAACAATACGTTGAATGGACACCTGAAGATATGTAAGTGTTAATGAAAAATAACCATTCACATTCATTACATTGCTTTGCACTTTTCTATCTTTAGTTATCCAGGAGAATGGATCAACGGTTCAGACGCGAAATTAAAAGCCAAGCATGTACCTATTAGTGAATTGACTGCTTTTCAACTCAATCGTCTTTTACCGCCCATATATGCTTACCGTCCACGCATTCGGGGACAACGGAAACGTTCCGTAATCTCAACACTGCAAAGCAAATAATTGATCATTCTCCTACATTCTTATATAGAAATGTATATACCCATCAACCAGGGCAGATATAAAACAAATATATACATATATATATATATATATTTCTTTTCGTTGTTTCTTTGTGTTATGACTTTTCGTATTGTTATGGATTGTAGAGTAGTAGTTTCATGATGCTAACATATAAATTTCTCTTTTTTTTTCTTTCTTTCTTTCTTTCTTTCTTTCTTTCTTTCTTTCTTTCTTTCTTGAGAAAATGATGATTACTTTGTATTTTGTAGATTTGATAACAAAGTCTATGTATACGAAAGAGAAAATAAAAATTTATCAAAGTATTTAGAGATGAAAATAGATAAAATCTATTATTTTAATATGATTAATAAAAGTAATATGTAATTGCTGTTTAACTATCAAAAATTATGAAAAAAAAGGCGATGAGAATATTTAGCAAAACAGCATAATATTAATTTTACAATCAACATTATAAAGAATTCTAACGCCAATTTCTGGTAGATTATATTTTTGTTGGTACCATGAGAAAAGATTTATAAAATATCATTCATTACGTATATGCATGTAACAAATCTTGTAGGCACATAACCAAGCGAAAAAACTCATTTTCAACCATTTAATGTAATTAGAAATGAATTATTTGTTCGCCCTGGACGAAATCCAATGTCGCGAGTTTTATCGACTTCGACTGTTTGTGATCAAAGAAAAGCATGGCTATCTATGAAATTTCTTTTAGACCAAACAAACTCAAATCATGATCAGCTATTGTAGCTGTTTGCTTCGCGACACACGACGTCAGCACTAATCACATCTTTCTGTCCGTTATTCTTGAATGTCACTTATAATTCGCTCGTTTCTAAGTTGACTCGGCAAAAAATACTCAGCAAATCGTTAACGACGACCATTGTCAGAAAGAATGCGAGAACAATAACCAAAAAATGGAAATTATCGATGAGATCCAATCGTACAAAGTGCATGGCAAAGATAAACAAAACGATCACAATTATGCCAACAAGGAAACCAGAAATAATTGAGCATAGATATGCATACATACATATACTAAACAATTGTCCTCTACTTGTGACAGCAAATAACAATTCGATCATGATTACTATTGTAGTAGCGCACCTAATTGAAAAAAGATGTATCTACATATTTTAATTTATGGTTATGGTTAAACAAGTTGTTACTTTGCCGAAGTGGTTGATGAATTTGATGAAACATTCTGACGAATTCCTAATATGTATGGGAACAATTTGTATCGTTGTGATTAGTTTTCAAGAAAATGGAAATCATCCATGGATTGCCTCACAATTCTCACATGTATGAAAGTTAAAGTGATGATGTGTCTGCTGCAATCATTTCTGGTGAACTTTTAAAAAGTTAGCATTCAAGTGACCGAATATGAATGTTAAAAGAATTCCTAGGCCACAACCTTGTTGGACATCCCACTATTATTTCAACAAAAATAAAATGTCACATAATATATAAGTAACTTTGGTTGGCCTCGTGTTTGATTTAGCATAATGGCTGCAAATATGCTATAAAAATTGGCTTTATCTTATTCATCAATGATGACCTTTTCCAAACATAGATAATAAATGTATAAAACGTATGGCGATCTATTTTCTTCATCCGTTCGTAGTCATAGAAAAGAAAGAAACACATGGCCGCCAAACATTCCTTTTTAAAAATAAAAATCTTTCAAATTAAATATGTATTAAAATAATTTTCATCTGATCTATTATTAGTCTTGAATATTAATTGCCGTTATAGGTTTAATTATTCTGATTTACACCAAGTATCTAAATACTGTAATAATACTTATCGAAAAAAACATTGGTGACACGAGAGAAAAACTTATTAGAACCTTCCGATTTATTCTTAGCTGTTTTGATGCCTCGAGATGAATTTTCTCTCCATTGTATAAAATCTTTCATCATAAGTGTATCGTATCGTATCGTCTAGTCGATGAATGCATTTATAATTCTAACCAATTCTAGTTGCTACTCAATCTGTAACATAAATCGGACATGTAATGTCGCATAATTACATGTTTATTTGTCACCTGCCAGAACAGGAAGCCAATAACTTAGTCAAAACGTTTGTATATTTATTTTGCCAAAAATAAAACGTGTAGACAAATGTCGTGACATGAGATATATACAGTACCAACTGACATTTACAGAAACCAGAGAGATTCACTTTCCCCGGCTAATACTAACATATACACATATACATCTCCATTCACATAGTTATTTAACACATAACCATAACATCAATAGTTAATGATGTCGATGGTTTTTACTTATTTTCTCTATCGCAAATTTTCTTGTTAGATCTGGTAAGATCTTTACGATTTATATCTTCATCAATGGAAAATCTTATCATTGAATCGAACAGATATTTTCCGTTAATATAACTTATCATAACAGTTTTCTGCATGATAAAACGTTACTGGAATAATATCGAAAGATGTAATTAATTAGTAAATGAAGGTTTTTCCATCGAATAAACAAGACATGACATTTCATGGTGATGATTATCGAAGTCCAAAGTTAAGCAAGCCAGAGATGGGCAAGTCAGCGATTTTGATTCGACTCATTAGTATAAGTAGCGGATATGTTTTCTTGCTCTTCTACTAAGTGTATTAACAGTTAAGTAGAAAAACTAATAGGAAAAGCAAATATTATCTCTCGTTCTTGTTTCAATGATCATAAAAAATCGATTCATTTGTTTGTAATACGAATATTATTTTTCAGAAAATAGAAATCGTCTAGTCTTACACAAGTTTACTCATGAACAAGTCTAATATGACTCATCTGGTAAATCTATGTGGAAGGGCATGATTCAAATAAAAACTACTAACTATTAACATCGATCAAAATGACAGCTCTTTACCAAACGTGGAAATTCAACTGTAGAAGTAATCAGACGGAAAAATTAATCTTTGCAGCACATATATGATCGAGAGCATCATCAGTTATAGAAGAAGATGGCTAATAATCGCACAAAAGATATGGAATTTCTATTCTAATCGCGTCGGCATTCTATAGGAAACCTTCTGAAAAACAATTATTGGTTATAGTAATTGAAATTCTTCTTGGCTTTATATTGTTTAATCATTTTTGTTATTAATTTGTAATAACACAGATTTTCAATAGAATACCAGAAGATAAGCTTTTCTACATGCTTACATTTCATCTTAACTGTCATTCACTCTATGATATATATATATATATATCAGATAATAGTTCTATATTAGCATTTTGAATTTCATTGGTATCAAAAGCTTTTTCGTCTTATATTTCTATTTTGTAGGCATGATGTTTCTATTAGAAATCAATCGAAAAGATGACTTCCACAAATTCAACAGCATCATACACAGGTAATGACACATACCAACAAGGAAATTTTGAATAAGTACTAAGCGTATAGACGAAATATGAGCCGTAATGAAAATAGTGTTTGAACTCATTGTACGCATTAAATAATATTATGGATCTAAACATAGTAGTATTTGAGTGTTACTATTAGCATAAAATAATAATTTTTCTAAAAATCTAACTATATGGAATTTTCACAGTAGTCATGATTATTTTGTCGAATAGTTCTAATGATTTCGATGCTTCCTACGCTACGAAGAAAGTACCGGAAAAAAATACATTATAAACTACAATGTAGTTGAACAAGCTAAAACAAGATCAGAAAATCAGAACACATTAGTGTCGATTGTCTTCGATGTCGGCGTGTTCAATTAGATGACTATTGTAAAATGCTAATGAATGGAGTCAAAAGAAAGAAGGTTACTTTTCTTTAGAAAGAGAAGCAATAATACCATGAAATGTCGTGCCAATTTTATTCCAATAAGCTTTTCTATCAAAAGAAACACCTATTCGGAAGGAACATAGTCAGATATATTACAGCTTGTGGTTAACTAATTACGTCCCACCAGTTAGTTTACTGCTGTGCATAAAGGACGTTGTCGCACACATGCACCCTAAAAATCTTTTTTTTCTCTTCGTCGTCCTCGATAATAGTCAATTTATAACAACAGAACAAAGCTTTCTTTTCTCAGTAACGAGCAAATAACTGTTACTGCTTAACCATATATTATTCTATTGCACACGTAACCGGAAACTATAATTCGAAGATTCTCTATCTTACTCTACGCAGTAATTATGCAGAAATCGGTGGCTACTTATGCACTGAAAGCGTCGTTTGGAGATATAAAGCAGAATAGAACTACTACTCTCGATGGTAAACAAACCAATTAAAAGAACTAAAACAGTTGTAGAGTTTTTAGCGGCATTCCTACAATAGTTTTTTAATGGTACGCACATCGCATACAAAATATAAATGTAAATGTAAGTCCTTTAAAGCCATAGTTATTCATGTGTTTGTTTATCTAGATATAGGAATACAATAGAGGATCATATTTGTCAAGGATGTATTTTTCCTTCTGCCGACGATAAATTCATTAAAGTACATCAGAAGCAGTACAAAATATAAGACTAAATTGATCGAATACCCTAATGACAATAAAGACAGATGATATATTTTGGATATGTTGACAGAATATACCATTTTTATGTACTCAAAAAGTGAGTACCCTCTAGATTCGGCCAGTGTGCCCGGCCGGCCGTCCGTTATCACGGTAACTTTTGAAAGCCTCATTCAATTGTCATGAAATTTTGTACACAGAATGATCTCATCAATATCTCCGTTGAGTTCGAAGACGAGAAGGATGCGCCGAGTAATGGCTGAGCTATCGAAAAAATTGTCATTATTGACCAGACCATCCCTGACAGACGGGAGGGGGGGGGGGGTACAAGGGTTTTTTAAAA